TTTAAGAAAGAAGCCTGCCAAGAACTTTCAAACTCATACAAATAGCTACAACACTATTTACGAGTGCTAATATTTCTGTGATAGTTGGATATGTAATTTCTACTTCTAAAATGATTTCATCAAGTTATAGAAGAATATTATTATAAGGTCCAAAACCTAATTTCATTGAGCCAAGCTTATCAAAACTTTGAGTATTTTGTTAGAATGAAATTGGTGAAGAGAATGATTCTTGTGTTTGAAACACTAATCCTTGGTTTACTTTGGTCTGTTGCGTTTACACCTTTAAAAGTACTTATTGCGAAGAGTCCGATTAAATATAATTCTATAAATTTCTGAAACTTGTCTATATTTATTTAGATGTTGTATTGTACTGTTGAGTGTATAATTTGATATTTTATATCATTAAAGGAGAATCTACTAATTTATCAATTTCTTATTATGTGGCACAATTGTTTGGAATAGTTTTCTTGACTCTATCGACATCTAAGCAACCATAAAAATATAAAATGATCATAGATGTTTCAGTTGTTTTTGGGTTAAAATAAAGAGTGTAATTGCTTACTTTAGAATAGTCTATGCAATTGAATCCTTAAAGCTCAGGATCTTAACATTAAACAATATCAAGATATTGAACTTAAGTCTTAGTACCAGATTAATATAGTAATTTTGCATAGTAGACTAGATAAGTCTTATTTTATTTTGCTTATAACTATTCGACTGTTTGATTTACATCTGTTTAAAATTAAAAAGCAATCAAATTTTATTGCAGTGGTACATCCATTCTATCTTAAGTAATGAAGCTTTAAGATCTATACTTTGTATCAATTAGATTATTAAAATAAAGATAAAGCAGATAGATGAAGTAAGACAAGACTGTAACTGCACTCAAGAAAGACAAAAGTAATCCTGTATAGCTCCCTTTTCTGCTTGAGCGATTGGAGCCTAAATTAAAGTAAAATTCTGAAGAAAATACGTCTAACCTTAAAAGATCCATTAGTTGTTATTCTCAAATTTTATTTAGTCTTTTTCTGATATGTTAATTTTTAATTTATTATTTATTTATTTATTTATACTTTTTCAGTTTTTCTTGAACATATAAACCAATTTAAACTCAATGTTTTGCTTAATGATAGAGAAGTAACAAAAATTTACTTTAAAGTTTTCTTGATATATTTATTAAAGGGTAAAAACTCCTTGGTTTTTATTGTAACAATTTTTTAAATTCATTTGTTATTATTATTTAAAGAAAGTATCTAAAAATAAATAGAAGATACTAAGACTATCACTAGAATTATATTTTTAAATCGTATTTTTATCAGGTACATCTATTTTTAGTGAAGTGATAATGTTTTGCAATTTTTCTTTTGATATTTTTTACTTATTATTTTACTTTAAAAGATGAATATTAATTTAAGAAATTGAAAAATAATATTTTATTTAATTAAATTACCCTTTTTTATTGAATTCCATTAAATTATTTCATGAAAGTGATTAATAAATTATTTTATTTTATACAATCGGTAAATTTTTCTAAAAATGAGTTATAATTTAAAAACTAAACTTCTTAACCAATCAAAGGCTTTATTGAGACTACAGCTTATCGATTGGTTGGTTGGTTTTTTAAATGATAGATTAGCTGATTTAATGATTGATTTAAATTTTTTATTGGTTATCTAAATTGAACGGTTTTTTAATCTGATTTAGTAGCCAATATAATTGCTTAGATTAAGAAATTTCTATTTATTATTAATTTTCCTTCTTACATTAATTTATATTAAAAAATAAATTAAAAGTAGATGCATTTTAAATGGAAATAAATTAACAATATAACTAAATCATCGATTAGATGATAAAATCATATTCATTGAGTCCTTAAATGTAAATTACGGTCTACTCCGATAAAATATATAAAATCTAAAGCTTTTTATTGATTTCACATATCCTAAAAGTAGAATAATTAATTACAGCTTTTTAAACAATAAAAAAAAACTTTTTTTGTATTTTTCTCATTATTACACTTTTTAAAAATGCTCTAGTAACTGATCAATCAATTTCTAATTGTTAATTAATAAATTACAACCACAGAATTCGTATAATTAACCTTCAACCAATTTTATTTCATAAAAATAATCAAAGTAATAAATAACTTAAAAGTGAATTAAAATAATAACAAAATCAAAGAAAATTGTGAGGCATATAGAGGTTAAAATATACATACATAAATAATTCAAAATCTACGGATTCTTATCAAAAATAGATTTATATCAATAAAAGGAAAAATATTTTTGTTTTATAAGTGAAATTTTAGCTTTTCTCATTTTTTATATAAATAAACCATTATTATAAAATCTATTTTTTTATGTTAAAACTGTATTAATTATAATTTAGAATTGATATAAATGATGTTAATTAAATGTAGAGTGTTTGTAGTATTTAAGCATCTTATTCATTTTATAATATATTTATTGTATTCATTCTAAGATTCTAAAATAGTTATGTAGCTTTTTATGTTCTACACATTTGGAATACATAGCTATTTTTAAAAAAATAGCTCTTTTATGGCATTTTATATAATGTTGACAGAAAATTTTAGAGTCTTGAATTCTATTCAAATTAATATAAATCGCTTTTTAATAGACTTACCACTTTTAGAAGAAATTCATCACCACAAGACTTTTAAAAATTTTTTTAACATTAATTAAACTGTACGTACAGTTATTTAAAAAATATAAACTGCTTTAGATTTATTATTAACAATATATCTATCTATCTACTCAATAAAACTTACTATTTTTAAAATTATTTTTACTATAATATTTACTAAAAATGTTAACTTTTTAAATTAGTTGAGAGTTAACAAAATAAAAATTTTACTAATTAAATGTAAGAAGATTTTTAAAATTTTCATTTATTATTTATAGATAATTAATTATAGATATTGGCAACGCGACGTCAGTGGAATAAAAAATTCCTTGACTTTTTTATGTATGATTTTATATTGTCTATAAGTTAAAAATTTCTTATTATTTAAATTAATAATATATCTTAATATTTATATAATATATATCAATATATTAGTAAATATTATAATATAAATAATATATTCTAATAAAACAAATAAATTAATATTTTTTCCGAATGATTGGGTTCCAACCAATAAATTAATCAAATATAATAATTCATTTCATTTTACAGATTTATTTCATATCTCGATATATTTTTCTCATTTTTATTATTTATAAATTAAATATTTTAATAATTTAAAAATTTTATTCAATCAATTAATTTATTTTTCATATTTTAGGTATTAAATCTATCAAAAAAAATTAATTAATGAGTTTGATTAAAATAAATAAATGCCCAAATTAGTTCAATTTTAATTTGAAATTTTTTGAATTTTAACTGTAAATAATATTTATTTTAATAAAATAATTTCAAAGTGTTTAAATTAGTAAATGAAAGATTAGGAGAAATATTTAACTTAATTTAAATAGTATTTTTCTAAAAGAGCAATTTAAATAAATATAAAATAATTCATAATTCATTTTCTTATTTAAAATCATTAGGAGATTAAGAAAATTTAGTAAGAGTTCCTGCAAATCGAACAATTCTTGGTTTTGAATTAGATTTTTGTAGGTTTGGATGGAATGTACAATCTTTTAATTCTAGACAGCTCTTTATATGAGAGAGTATTTGTGACTTTTTAGCTTTATGTTTACTCCATCTTTATACATTCTTTCAAAAGGATTGCTTCTTTCTCTATTTTTTATTTTTCATAGTTTTAATTTTCTTTATTAATGGAAGGTTTAAAGGTGCAAAATTTTGCATAATGTTTTTAGTTTATTGAATCAATCAGTTAGACCACTTCTTGGTTTGTAATTAAATCTGCTTCTGTTATTCATGAATCAACTTATACGATTCTTTTAAATTCAGATAATTTAATCTGATAATCTGATATTACTAATATTCATTTTTAAATGTAGGTTTGACTCATTCAATTGTTTATTCAAAGATTCCTTAAGATTTTTTATTGAGTTATACTAATTTATGCTTTGATTATTAACTAACTTTTGTGGAGAGCTAATTTAACTATTTATTTATTGTATATTATTTTGTAAACTACCTAAGTTGTGGCTGATACTTAAACTGCTTCTCTATTTCTTTAGGGGTTCTGGGCTGTTTGTTTGTCTTAAAGTGTTTTATAGTTATCTTTAAGACAGATATTGGTTTTTTAAATCTTCACTCGATTCATTTCTTTTTAGTTATTTTTAATCTAATAACTTTTATATGTTGTTATTCTTCAAAAGGTTTTTTTAGACCTCTTTTTATTCAAAGAAAGTATTTAATTGTTATTTTATATGATTGCTCATTTTAACAGCTTATGGGCTCAACTATCTAATAGATTTATTGCTGGAATTTTAATGCTATTTTATTAATACAAATCCTAACTTACAATATTTTTTATTAATAATACGACAGAGCTATTTTAATTGATCATTCACTTACAATTTTCATTTCCAATCATACTTTTTTATGTTAAAATCTAATTTATTATTCAAATTAGGTGATAATAATTGCAAGGTATTATTTTTATTTTCCTTATTTTGCAGATTTTGTAATTATTTTTTTTAGTTTTTACATGGAAGTTTTTGTTGATTAAAAGGAGCAAATGTCTACTAGTTGTATACATCGTTGCTGCTTTAGGCTTCTTATTATTGTTTGAAATTTTAGAATAATCTACTTGATAAATCATAACAATCTGAGGCACTCAATGATTTAAAATAACTAGCTAATTTGCAAATAACTTAATCTTCTAAATCAGAATTTCTTTCACAAACTCTCAAAAACTCTTACATTACATTCAATCCATTTCTACTTAAAATGCTGAGCTCATATAAATTGTCTAAAAATCTATGCATAGTAGTCATTTATGTTCTACTCAAAATTTATTACTTATTTATTTGTGACTCTTATTTTTTTTTACTAGATATCTATCTAAATTTTAATAATTCAAAATTTAACAGCTTGATTAGAAAAAGTATTAGACAAAGTTAATATACTTATTTAATACTGGTTTTAAAATATAAATTAATATTAATTGAGTTTAAATACTTTAGATTAATAAATAAATAAATTAAATTTTTCAAAAATGTTTTTGTAAATATAAAATATTTGTTGAATCACAAAAAGAAAATTTTTTGATAATTTAAAAAGTAAAAATTTGATTAAGATTTATTTATTTTTTTTATCAAATATAAACAAAAAATATTGATAATAATGGTATAAAAAAACTATCTTAATAAATAAATATAAATATTCTCAAATTTTTAATACATAAAAACATCATAAAATTATTAATAATATTAGCTTTTTAACTATTACGCAGTAAGTTATATATTCTATTATGAATCAATTCTTTTCTGCTGAGTATTTTATTTATATAGCCATAATCACTATTATTTGCTTTTTAGTATCGATAAGTCCTTACTTTTATTTATTTAATTTAAAAGATAATATAAATATATATATAAATTTAATAAAAAATAAAAAATAAATGAATTAATTTTTGTTTTTGATAAAAATTATTCAAAACATACAAAAAATATGAATATCTACATCAATAAAAAAACATATTTAAATCAACTTGATCTATCTTTGAATACAATAGATGATAATATTCTTTTATCAATTTCTGAAATTTATGGCTTATCTTTACATTTTTAATAAAAGTTTTTGATAAACTCTTATTGTAAATCAAAGTTATCAGAAAGTGCTTGGCTTTTCTCAAAATGACTCAATCTATTTTATTAAACTAATAAATTTTAGTAAATTCTTTATTAATAAATATAAATCAATTTATTCATTTATTTACTCATTTTTTTAATGTTTTAGCTTTCATCGAAGTCATCAATTTCAAGAAACTCTGTTGAGCAACCTACTAGTTGCAGGGCAGCCAATTATTCTTAATCCAAAATAATCATCATAGCTTTCTTCAATAAAATGAGATCCTTATAAATCTAGTAGATATCAAGATGTTTGTGCATTTATCCATAAATTTTCTTCATTGATTTATCTTCTATTCCTAAACTTAAAAGGTAACTTTTTTTATCAACAATTCTATTTTATTTATAAAAAATTAAATAAGTTTTATTTATTTTAATTAAAATGAAATACTTTTTTTTAAATAAAATTTTTTCAAGTTATTATTTAATAACATTATTTTATGTAATCTTTTATTTAAAAGAAGATATTCTTTGTAATAAGTCCAGACTGTATTTTTTCTTTCTTTACTCCTCAAAAGTTGTCATTTCAATATTCTGGTTGTTTTATGGATTTTTTAAAGGTTATTACTTAAATTACTATTAGAGAGGTTCCTCTCTAGGAAGAGAAATTAATTCAGAGCTTTTTTTTGGAGAAATAAAAGGTCTATTGGTTTTAGGTGAAGTAATCATTTATTCTAATGTTCCCAAGCCTTCACTAGTATTTGATATTTTTTTAATATATTTTTTTTATTTATTTTGATATGGAGAATTTCCTTCAGTTTTTGTAAGTTCGCTTTGGTTTATAACTTCATCCTAAAAATTAGGGTTTTAAATGTCTAAAATAGGATGATCTGAGTTGATGCTTTAGCTTTTTTCCACAGACTCTCTTGATTTTGTCAAAAAACTAGGTACAAAAATATCTATAAAATCTTCATCATTTTAATTGACTTCAGTGGGATCTTAAAAATTCAAAACATCCTCTTTTTTATCAAATCCACATACCCCTTTCTGTAAATTTTGAGATTATACTTATCTTTTATTCAGTCTATAATGTTACGGTTCCCTTGAATCTTTAAGGCAATTATCTACAAAATCCTATTTTTTTCCTCCTTCATCTTAGCTTTGTTTTAATTCATAATTATCTGTTTAATTTCCAAGTTGGATATGACAGCTCTATTATTATTGTTATTATTATTATTATTATTTTTGTTAGGTAGAACTTCCTTATATCTCTTTAAATAAAGAATCTGTTTCTTTTTAATCTATTAATTTATTCTTTATTACAATCTCCTCATATTTATCTTGGAATAAATTTTGCAAAAAGAGCATAATCAAGTCTTATTTGATCAGCTTTTAAGAAAGAAGCCTGCCAAGAACTTTCAAACTCATACAAATAGCTACAACACTATTTACAAGCGCTAATATTTCTGTGATAGTAGGATATGTAATTTCTACTTCTAAAATGATTTCATCAAGTTATAGAAGAATATTATTATAAGGTCCAAAACCTAATTTAAGTGAGCCAGCCTTATCAAAACTTTGAGTATTTTGTAAGAATGAAATTGGTGAAGAGAATTATTCTTGTGACTGAAACACTAATCCTTGGTTTACTTTGGTCTGTTGCGTTTACACCTTTAAAAGTACTTATTGCGAAGAGTCCGATTAAATATAATTCTACAAATTTCTGAAATTTGTCTGTATTTATTTAGATGTTGTATTGTACTATTGAGTGTATAATTTGATATTTTATATCATTAAAGGAGAATCTACTAATGCATTTATTTCTTATTGTGTGGCGCAATTGTCAGGAATAGTTTTCTTGACTCTATCTACATCTAAGCAACCATAAAAATATAAAATGATCATAGATGTTTCAGTTGTTTTTGGGTTAAAATAAAGAGTGTAATTGCTAATTTTAGAATAGTCTATGCAATTGAATCCTTAAAGCTCAGGATCTTAACATTAAACAATATCAAGGTGTAGAAGTTAAGTATCGGTACCAGATTAATATAGCAATTCTGCATAGTAGACTAGATAAGTCTTATTTTCTTTCGCTTATAACTATTCGACTGTTTGATTTACATCTGTTTAAAATTAAAAAGCAATCAAATTTTATTGCAGTGGTACATCTATTCTATCTTAAGTAATAAAGCTTTACGACCTATACTTTGTATCAATTAGATTATTAAAATAAAGATAAAGCAGATAGATGAAGTAAGACAAGACTGTAACTGCACTCAAGAAAGACAAAAGTAATCCTGTATAGCTCCCTTTTCTGCTTGAGCGGTTGAAGCCTAAATTAAAGTAAAATTCTGAAGAAAATACGTCTAACCTTAAAAGATCCATTAGTTGTTCTCAAGTTTTATTTAGTCTTTTTCTGATATGTTAATTTTTAATTTATTATTTATTTATTTATTTATACTTTTTTAGTTTTTGATTAACATATAAACCAATTGGAACTCAATATTTTACTTAATCATAGAGAAGTAACAAAAATATACTTTAAAGTTTTCTTGTTATATTTATTGAAGGGTAAAAACTCCTTGGCTTTTATTGTAACAATTTTTAAAATTCATTTGATATAATTATTTAAAAAAAGTATCTAAAACTAAATAGAAGATACTAAGACTATCACTAGAATTATCTTTTTAAATCGTATTTTTATCAGGTACGTCTATTTTTAGTGAAGTGATAATGTTTTGCAATTTTTCTTTTGAGATTTTTTACTTATTATTTTATTTTAAAAGATGAATATTAATTTAAGAAATTGAAAAAAAAAATAATTTTTTTATTTATTTAATTTACCATTTTATATTGAATTCCATCAAATATTTAATAAAAGTGATTATAAATTGTTTTATTTTATTGATTCAGTAAATTTTTCTAAAAATGAGTAAAAATTTAATAACATAAGCTTCTTAACTAATCAAAGGCTTTATTGAGACTACAGCTTATAGATTGATTGGTTGGTTTGTTTTTTGAATGATTGATTGGCTGATTTATGATTGATTTAAATTTTTTATTGGTTACCTAAATTGAACAGTTTTTTAATCTGATTTAGTTAGCCAATATAATTGCTTAGATTCAAAATTTATTATTAATTTTCCTTCTGACGTTAATTTATCTTAAAAATAAATTAAAAGTAGATACATTTAAAAGGAAATAAATTAATAATATAACTAAATCATTGATTAGATGATGAAATCATATTCATTGAGTCCATAAATGTAAATGATTGTATATGCCAAAAAGATAAATAAAATTAAAGCTATTTGTTGATTTTACATTTCCTAAAAGTAGAATAATTAACTACAGCTATTTAAACAATAAAAAAAACTTTTTTTCTACTAATAAAAAATGAAAAACTATTTTTTTTTATATATTTTTCTCATTATTACCCTTGCTAAAAATGCTCTAGTAACTGATCAATCAATTTCTTATTGTTAATTAAAAAGCTACAACCACAGAAATCAAATCGTATAATGAATCACTCGACCAATTTTATCGTATAAAAATAATCAAAGTAATAAATAATTTAATAGTGAATTAAAATAATAGCAAAATCAAAGTAAATTGTGCTGCATATATTTTTAGAGGTTAAAATATACATGTATAAATAATTCAAAATAGATGGATTCACATCAAAAATAGATTGATATAAATAAAAGGAAATATTTTTTTTTTTCGTGACATATTTGCTTCATTTTTCTATTTATAACATAAATAATTTATAATTACAAAATCTATGTTTTTATGTTCAAACTGTATCAATGATAATTTAGAATTAATATAAATGAAGTTAATTAAATATATATTGTTTGTAGTATTTAAGCATCTTATTCATTTGATAATAAATTTTATAGTATTCATTCTAAGTTTCTAAAATAGATATATGGCTTGTTTTTGTAATTTTCTACCAATTTTTTATTTGGGATACATACTTATTTTTAAAAATAGTTCTTTTCTAAAGTTTTATATAATGTTAACAGAAAATTTTAGATTTTCCAATTCTTTTAAAATTAATATAAATCGCTTTTTAATAGACTTCTCACTTTTAGAGGAAATTCATCACCACAAGCCTTAAAAAGTTTTTTAACGTAAATTTAACTGTACAGTAATTATTTTAAAAATAGAAACTGCTTTAGATTTATTATTAATAATTTATTTATTTATCTATCTATCTATTTACTTAAAACTTAATAATTTTAAAATTATTTTTACTTCAATTATTTACTAAAAATGCTAACTTTTTAAATTAGTTGAGAGTTACAAAATAAAAAATTTACTAACTATTTTTTAGTTTCTGATATTTTTTGAGATATAAATTAGTTTTTGAAGAAATACCATTCAAAATTTATCAAACTATAGTTATTTACAAATAAGATAAATGGCGCACTTATTAAAAATATTGTTAAAACTCTATTCTAAGAATTATTATAAACTTATTAATTGATAAGAGAATCAATCTCTCATTTAAATAATTTAAATAAATAAATACATTTTTTTAAATTTCATTTATCTAAAATTTTTTATTGTACTATGTTCAATCATATTTGTATTATTACTTGTTTTATTATTGCTATTTTTATTATTATTATCATCGTCATTATTGTTATTATTGTTGTGTGTCACTTTAATCGTTTTTATTTTCTTCTTCTTTGTTTTCTCCTTATGGGTCATTCTTTTTTTTGTCTTAAGCACTCAAGAGAATTTAGAGATTCTATTAATTTATTTAAAAAAAAAACATAAATTAGATCAATTAAATGTAAGAAGATTTTAAAAATTTTAATTTATTATTTGTAGATAATTAATTAATGAATTAATTACCTTTTTCTTTCTTTTTTCTTCTTTTAGTCTCTCTTGCTCTTTATATTTTTCTTACTCTTCTCTTTCTTTTTGCTATTACAACTTTAGTTCCTAAAGGTCTTTTTCAATTTTTTGCTTCTGCTTTTTCATAAACTCATCAACTTCTTTTTTCTTTTGCTATTCTAATTCTTTCTTTTAATCTATGATATGCTACTCTTTTTATTTTTTTTCTTCTTCTAGTTTTATTTAATGTTCTCTCACCTTTTACTTTTTCAACTCTTGCTCTTTCAAAAATTTTTCTCTTTTCTTTCTTTCAGCCTCCTCTTGCTCTAACCTTTTTTATTTTTCTTCTTCTTTTTACTTTAATTCTTACTCCTTCTTTAGTTCCTTTATCTTCTCTAACTCTTCTTTTAATTCCTTTTGTAGATAGATAGTACATTATCAATTTATTGAAAGTTAATTGAAACTTTTTATTAAATTTACTTATTATCTTTGCTTAATCCGTACATCTTTTGATTTTTTTTACTTCAGCTCATTTTCTTACTATTCAATTTTACTTTAAAGTACTTTATTCATGATTTATTTCTATGGACTTCTTGTCCTTCCTCTTTCTTATGCGTTCGCGTTCTGCTAAGACTTAAATTAAGGGATAGGAGGAGGAGGCGCTGCTTGCTCTGACTAATTGATATCTCCAAAGCTCCTCAAATTATCTATAAATTAATAAATAAATAAAATGAAAAACATCATTTTTAAACAAAAATTAACTAACATACTTAATCTTCCTATTTAACCAGTCTTCATATTTTTTTTAACTTGCTTTTCCTCTGGTTCTTGGTTATTAATTAGAGGTTATCTTTATGGCTATTCTTGATTTTCTTTGCTTTAAACACTTGCAGCCTTACGAGGTAATCCTGCTTAAGAAGGTGGCTTAGGTTTTACTTTGTCTACAAGAGTTATTTTAGTTATTGGTTCAATTATATTTACTCTAGATAAATAATGAAAGAAATATTAAATTTATGAAATTATTTTCTTAATTAATTACTTAAATAACTTGTTAAATAAATCATTTATTATTTAATATCCATAGAGGTAACCCTGAGGAATACCTATTTACGCTTTTTTGTTTAGACTATAATTTAGCTGCATATCCTTATCTACTATTTTCTTATAATTTTCAGGGATAGGATAATCGCGATTAATAAGCAAAGCATTATTAATTTTATTAATCTCTTACTACTCGTGTAGAGGAACGTTAAAAAACTCTGGGTTAGAATAAATCTAGGAATTCTCACCTCTTTTTTTAGTTGCAGCTGCAATATGTTTAAATAACTACTCAAATATTTAACCAGCATGGCAGCCTCTCATATCCTTTGGTGGTCTGCTGTAAATTAGCAAAGCAAATTACACCAAATATTTACTGAAATCATCTAAATCAAGAGGACTAGTATCTCCCTTTTTATAAATAATTAAAAAAATCAAGTTGATTCCTCAATATAAGTCTTGCTTACTTTTTCAACAGTCTTGGCATTTATCAGTTTTATCAACTAAACAAGTTCTTCCTTTGTACACAAATCAAGTAAGTCGTTTTCTTTTATCATTTTGCCAATATCTTGAATAGAAATCAAATCAATTTTTTCTCTCATTTAAGCAAAGAAGTCTCCTCTATCAATTTTAAATTAATTAATTAAATAAATAAATGGCTTAAACATACATTTGTTGAATTGAATTAATTAGAAGAAAATATAAATTAATTTTTTTTATTTTTCAAATGCTAAATATTTAAATGAAAAAATAGACTTTAATTACTTTTTAATTGTTGTTGTGCTGTTTTGGTATTTAGTGAAAAGAGCCTTTATAGATTTGTGATATTTTTTTAAGGCCATGCCTAATGTTTCTCTGTCTCTCTCTTCGAGCTCTTCAATATTAATAAGTTGTATTTATTCAATTTTGCTGATATCTTTAGGCAAAGTGTTCTAATCATAGATGAGTTTTAAGGGGATTTTAGAATCTCCTTCTTTGGCAACTCCTAACTTGGCATTTCTTTTATTTATTTCTTCTACAGCGGCTTTTATTTATTACTCTTTCTTTTATTTCTTAAGCTCTTCTTCTTATTACTTTCTTTTTTATTCTTCTTCTCTCCTCATTTTAATCTGCTCTATTTGCATGATAGCCTTTGAATTCAAATTTCTTTCCTATTCTGGCTTTTTTTGTTTCTCACTATTTTTTTACTTCAATCCTATTCCTATTTATTATCATTGAAGCACTTGATATTATTAAATTTAATAATTTACCATTTTTTTAATAAAACTCATCATCCATTTTAGATTACTTATCTCCTTCTTAATTGTTATCAAATATATTTTCTACCCATATATTTTCTTAGTTTTGTTTAGGCTTATCATCGTCATAATTTTCCCCTTTATAATATCTTTTTTGCTATTATTTAGAATCATTTTCTAATTATTATTCACTATACATCTAATTATATTAATCTATTCTAGCTTGTCTGTCTCTCTCTTCTTACTCTTAGATTTAGTTTTGCTCTTCAATTTCTTAAATAATTGCTTCAGGGTCTCCCAACAATCCTAAAAGCATCACAACTCCTTTAATAAATATATAAAAGAAGTTTGAATTAAAATATTTAAACCAATATGAGCTTTATTTACCTTTATTTTCTTGCTTAATTTGCTTGAGCTATAAATAAACATGTACTAATAAAGGCTTAAGTTAATCATTTAGATTTGAACACTATTATTCGATGATCCATTTTAATAATTAGATTATCAAACCTCTTTTTTAAGCATTTATAATTTCTGTTTCGTTAGCCTCGTTAAGAGCATCATATAAATTCTAACCATATTTATCATATTTTTATTTATTCCCTTTTTTATTTTTGCAACTGTTAAAAAACATAGCCAAAGCTATCTTTGTAAGTTTCACTAAATATTCTTAAAATGCTTCATCCTCAACAAAGCGAGCAATCATTTAGCTTATAGGATCAAAAATAGACTAAGAATATACTAAATCATTTAAGTATACTTTAGATAACAGATCAATTAGCTAGATGCACATTTTTAATTTTAATTTTGGATGAGTCGAACTAATTCTCAAAAATTCTATGTCACAAATATTCAAAATGTAAGATGAATTTTAGCTAACCTATAAAAAAATATATTAACAATAAAATTACATTAATGATATTAATTACCTAAATTTATCTTATTAAAGGCTCGAGCAATATTTCGGTTGGAATTGTGTTAAATTTTTTAAAAGCTCTTGAAAAATTTAAAAGAATAAATTATCTTAATTCAATATCAGCATGGTTTTCAATAAAAGAAAAAGTAAGTTTTTTATAAATTAGTGCTGCCAAAGGATTCCTATCTGTAGCAAGATAATCTAAAAGCTCAAATAACTTAGCAAACGAACCTATTTAAAGACAAAAATTTTTATCTCTACTTCCCTTTTTTAATAAATCTAAAATTTTTTCAGTTAGCTGAGGTGTTTCTTCAATGTATAGTGGATAGCTCTTCCAAATATTGACTAAAAGAGATAATGCACTTTCTCTATCATTAATTTAATTTTTCAGAGGATCATTTTCTGCCATTTTTAAGCAATTATCCACCCAATATTCAATGATCTTAGAATTCAATAACTTTATTATAAAATAAAAATTTGTTTTTTAATCAAACAGATATTAAAAACATTTAAACTTAAATATTAAAAATATTAAAATTTTAAAATTTTAAAATAAATGATTTACTTCTTCTTTGCTCATTTTTGTACTTGTTAATGATGAAAAAATTAGGTTGATGAAATCAATATACTCTTTGTTATTTTCAATTATTTTTCTTAGTTAAACAGTTAAAAAATCAGTTAAATTGTATCTGCTGATTTAAACCATAAAACTGACAATCGTGTCTTTTAAATTTTGATGTCTTCTTAGGCACATAACAGCACTATATAGACCACCCATTTATGAAGTGAACCAGTCATAAGCAGGAGCAAGAAGCTCTAAGTTGGCTAAATCAAAAGACATTTTACTAAAAATACGACAACTCCAAAGAGAAACTTCTTCATTTTTAGATAATAAACCTGGTTTAAGAGTATTCAAAATAATAGGAATATTAGCTTCTTCCACTTCAATAAATAAAAGCAATCTCTTCACATTCACATAGATATCTTACAAAAATTTTTCTACTGGATTAAAATCACTTTTCAAACCTTTGACTAAGACATGAGCAAAATATTTGTTTCCGTTGGATAAAAGAGTGGCTGCCTATTTTTATAAAATATTTATAACAAAATTTCCAAAATAATAAAAAATAAAACACACATTTTAAAACAAAAATGAAAATTTATTTTTAAAACAATGCTCTGAATTTTTTAATAGTTTAAATAAAAATCTAAAAAGTTTGTTTTTAAGAAATATCAATTTATTTATTTAAAAGACTTAAATTATTTTTTTGTAATTCCATTTTGCATTATTTATATTTGAAGCAATTCAATTTATGTTTTAGATTTCCATTGATACTTTGAATAAGCACAATAACTTAAACCAAAACACCTATAAAATGTTAAATTATTTACAAAAAACTTTTTTGATCCATTCAGACAAATCTACTATTTCAACTTTGTTTAATAAAATTTAATTGATCATTAAGATCGCTTTGTTAATTGTAGATAATTACAATTTATTATTTATCATTTATGCCTTCATTCTTAATTCATTAATTTAAAGTTGATAAAATAATTTCAGTCTAGGATATATAAAATTAAATGTAAATTATAATTCTCCTACCTACTTAGGTCTCAGCATGAAGTGTCTGGATATACCTATTAAGAAAAATTCTAATAATGACTATGTTTCTGATAGATTCTTTTAGACATCTAAATTGTTTAAATCAACGCCTGCTTCACCGTCCACTAGTTTTATTTTATAAAAAAAGCATTTATATCACTCATAACATCAATTTTTGTTACACTTTGCTTGCTTTAGCTCAATCTTCTGTTTTCTATTCTCTTCGTAGGGATTATATGATTAATTTGCAGATTTTAAACCTCTTTTCAAACTACTTCTTGGGTTGGACTAATTACATAGAAAAATATATTTATTAATAATATTCCTACTTTTTATTTGCTAATACTATCAAAGAATTTGCAGAGCTAGGAATAGAAATCTTCTCTAGCTGATTCATATCAAATTCATAAATATCCTTTAAAACTTCTGCCAACATTTGCGTATCACCTGCAACTATTAATGACTTAATATCTTAATCTAAAGTAATTCCCATTTTTTTCATTGCATCCGTCAATATATTCCAATTATATAATCGAGATGCAGCTGTATTTGAATCTTTTAACTTATCTAAACTCATATACCCTGTGTAATTATGGTTATTCTTATTTATCTTATCTAAAAGTTCTCCTATTTTTGAACCCACTTCGAATTGCTTCGTTGTATTTGAATCCAATTCATAAATTCCCTCCATATTTTACCCTTGTATTTTATCTGCTAAACTCAAGACTTTATGGCTGCTTAACCATTTAAATATTCGCTAATCTATTTACATTATTTTAAGCTAAACTTCTAATTTATTATATAAATTTAAAATGATTTCTATTCTGTATTTTGTAGTATTTATGTATTTTTTGTTTGTTTATATGTTAGCAAGATTTGCTACTATTAAAACTAGAAGATCTAAATTCGCAAAGTAAATTAAGATTTAGTTATACTTTTCTATTAAATTTTTTCAAATTAAAAATCAAATTATTAATTAACAAATAATAGACATTCAATCCTAAATCACTATTTTCAATAATATATATAATTCAATCTATTTAATTAATTACAAAAAATATTCATTCATTCTTTAATCATCAAATCAAACAAATATTTATTATTCAAAAAATATTTTTTAAAATGAATATTTAATTAATTTTTTAAAATCTATCTAAAGACAAGTCTTTCCCAAAAATAAACTTAATAACTTTAATAAATATAATAAATGATAAAAATTGATTAATTCAATAAAACCTAAAGATTTTGATTGAATTTAAAATTCAATTTTTACTAATACATTAATTAATTTATTTAAATTGTTGAGATAAATTTTCATATGATCTTTAAAATTTAATAGATGCAAGCAATTAAATTTAATTCCACCTTTCTCACATTTAAAAAAATTATTCTTCAATTTTAAATATTAAATGAATTGTAAATTTTATTTTGAGAAGCTAATAAAAAGTTGAAATATTTTATTGTGTAAATTAAATATTGAAAACTATTTTCTAAAATGATAAAAAGTTCAAATAAGCTTTGATATAAAGATAATATCATTTGTTAAATATCGAACACTTTCATTAATTAAATCTAATTTATATTAAGGCAATTTTCAGAAAATTTTTAAGAATCCAAAATAAAAAATTTGGGTTTTGATAAATAGTAATATACAATATTTACTTATTTTATAAATAAAATATATATAAAGCCTGGGTTGGTGTTAATTTATTTAATATATTGAAATCCTGGTATTTAAATTTGATAAAAACAATTTTTAGTAAATTAAAAATTTATTTTAAACTAATTTATTGCCTGATTCAAAATTAAAACTATAGGTGCAAAATAAATTATAAATTTTTGATTTTATAAATGAGTTTAATCATTTAAAAACGAAATATTAAATTTAAGAAAATAATTATCAACATATAATTTATTAAATATTCATTTAACGAAAATGAAATTTTATTCAAATATTTTTAATAAAATATGGATTTATAAGTAGAACATAAGAATACTTTAAATTTAAAGTAGTGAAGAATATTCGAGTAAATTTATTACTTTGGATTTATCAAGTTAATTGTATTATTTATAACAATTTTTTATTAAAATCTTTTGAAATAATCTTATGAGAAATAATTAAAATTTGTAAATTCTACTGAAAACAGCTTTTAGGCTACAAAGTTAAAAAATGGATATATTAAATAGCAAATAATTTAGTGAAAATCAAAAGAAACAAAAAGTGAATTTGTTTTGGTTTAGAAGAGATCTTAGATTATTTGACAACGTTGGGCTTTATCATGCTTTAAAGGAATCTATACCTGTCGTACCTCTGTTTATATTTGACAAAGACATTTTAAATGAGCTCGAAGATAAAAAGGATTGCAGAGTAGAATTCATTCATAATTATTTGAGTTAAATGTAAGATAACCTTAGAAAACATGGATCAACAATGGTTGTCAAACATTCTAATGCAGAAAGTGCTTTCAAGAGTCTTATGGAGGAATTTGATATCTCTTGTGTATTCACAAACAGAGACTATGAACCATACGCAAAAAAGAGAGATTAATAGATTAAAGAGATACTAAACAGTAAAGGAATAGGATTCAAAGATTTTAAGGACTAGGTTATTTTTGAAGCTAAAGAAGTACATCAAGACGATGGAAGTGCATTTAAGGTCTATACTCCTTTCAGTAAAAAATGGATCTCTTTACTTAGTGAACCTGATTATTAGAGTTACAAATCAGAGTCACTCATGAATAATTACTGGAAAAGCTAAGTAGAAGTTCCTTTTCCTACTTTAGAATAGATAGGGTTTTAAAAAACAGGAATAGAGTTTCCACCAAGCTAGTTAGATGAAGAATTGGTTAAAAATTATGATAAGACAAGAGATTACCCTCACATTAAAACATCTTTGATGAGTGTTCATTTGAGATTTGGCACTGTTTCTATCAGAGAGCTTGTTAGGAAAGCCGTTCTCCTTAATTAGAAATATCTTGATGAGCTCTGCTGGAGAGAGTTCTTTATGATGATGATAGATTAGTTTCCTCTATTTGCTACAGAAAATTTCAAAAAGGCTTATAATAAAGTAGAATGGAGAAACAACCCAGAGGAGTTTAAGGCATGGTGCGAAGGCAAAACTGGTTACCCTTTATTAGATGCAGGAATGAGGTAACTAAATAAAACAGGTTACTTACCTAATAAGCTTAGAATGATTGCTGCAAGCTTCTTAACTAAAAATTTACTTATCGATTGGAGATGGGGCGAGAGGTACTTTGCCTAAAAGTTAATAGATTACGACCTAGCAGCTAATGTAGGAGGATGGCAGTGGGTAAATGGTTCAGGAACAGACTAAGCCCCATACATTAGAGTATTAGATCCTGTAATGCAACAAAAAAAGTATGATCCTGATTTCAAATACGTTAAAACTTGGGTTGAAGATTTTAATGAAGATACCTACCCAAAAAGAATTGTTAACTATGAAGAGTCAAGACAAAGAGCCCTAGATGCTTTCTCAATAGTTTTCAAAAAAAATTAAATTAAGCAGCATTAGCAATAAATAAAGGAAAAAAAAGCAAATTATTAGCACTATTATAAAAATAAAAAATGAAATTATATTTTAAATATTTAAGTTAATTTAATTCAAAATCTAATTGCTAAGTTATTTTTAATTTACAAGTATTTATGCCTTCTTTTGTATATTTTAGTGAAGCAAGATAATTTATTCATTACTTTTAAATTTTAACCTTTTTTTCCAAATTACTTCTATGAAAAGTAAAATTGGAAATAAACTTGATAGGAATTTTTTTCAAAATTAAAATAAATTACAAAATCAGAAATTAAAAATTAACTTTTCTGGAAATCTTAATTGACGTCAAAAAGAAAAAAAAATTGTTTAAATTAATTAATCTAGAATTCATCTAATAAAAATTCAAATAGATTGAAATAAATAGAGAAATAGAATAGAATGAGCGAAATTTTACATATTTGCTTAAAAGTATTTACTAAGTTTTCATGCTAAATCAGATATTTTTATGCTATTTATTTACTTTGAGCAAAATAATTTTAATGAGATAATTAATATGAACAGGTATATGCATCTTTAGAAATATCATCTATTTATAGCATTTATTATTGTTTACTTTGACACATTTAATATCATTTGATTTTACTAATTAATGCGTCAAGAAAATTAGTCTAGAAAAAGATAAAATTTTATTTGAAAAACAAAATAATCATCTAAATTTACTTGATTTACTTGGAGATAATTTACAAGATGGTAACGGAAATCTGGCAAGAAATATTTAATAAAATTAAATTTATTACTCTAAGACGATTAGAGGAATTTTCCTTAACATTTATTTAAAGAAATCACCAACATTTAAATAGTCCATGTGCTTTATTTATTTATTTTATTAGATTTTAATAAAATTGTGTCAGAAACAATCCAGAAAACTATTTATACATCATTGAGATTATAATTGCTGAGAATAATGATAAATATCGAATATTTTAACATAATTCTACTGTTTTAAATTGAGATAATAAATTTCTATACATGAATAATATGATTAAATAATTGATTAAATTAATAGTAGCTAATTACTGATTACAAATAAAATTATCTTTAAAAAGTGTTAAATCTTTAGTTTGTTTTTATAAACAATTAATAAATAAATACTTAAATTAAAATAAAAGCAAATATCAAAAAAAAAATAACAAAAATGAAATTGTTCTAAAAAGCTATTAATCTATCAAATAAATTACACACATAAAACATATTTAAATTTGGTACTGGTACAGGTTTCACTAAATAATACTCATTAACTGCTACTGGTACTGGTTGGAATGCTAATATCACTGATAATGGGAATTACAAAATATAAACTGATCCAAAGGTTAACTAACCTTTATATTTGTTCTTATCCTCTTTGATTGCTTGTGAATAAGCCACAGGTAACTTCATAGCTAAACAAATGGGTATTACAATAAAAAACGTTCACTTTGACATAAAGGGAGAAAGAGATGAAAGAGGGTTTGGTCATCTCCCAATCACTGAAGAACCACCTGTCACATCTGCTTTCCAAAAAATTTATGGAACTGCAATTGTAGAAACTGAAGCCTCAGAAGAGCAGATCAAGCAATTAAGCGAAATCCTCAAAATAAGATGCCCTGTAGCAAGAATGGTAGTTTAATCAGGTTGTCAATTAGATATTCAATGGAAGAAGAAGTGATCTAATTTAAAAAGAATCAGATATAAAAAGAAAAATAAATATTTTTTTTAAGTAGATTTTGTTGTTTATAAAAATAAATTTATTGTATTATTTTTATGTCATTTTAATATGTTTTGTTTAAAATTATATTAATTTATCCATTCATTTCAATATCTTTGTTGTATCAAATTAAATGAATTATTTTCGAATTAAAATTTAATACTATTTTAATCTTAACTATGCAAAAAGAAGTTTATTCATTCTAAAAAAGTATCATTTTTGTAGTTTGTTTGTTAAAATTCTACTTTAATAATAATTAAGTAGTTAATTGATATAAATGCTACTCCATTTAAACAAATCTTTATTGTTTCAACTCAATATTGAGAAATATACATTTTTTATTTTGTGAGAGATATTATTGATAATTTACAAGTAAAATTTAATAATGAATTATTAAACGAAAATCAATTTAATTAGTTATTTATTTAAAATTTATTCGGATAAATTTTTTCAAGAAATAATTTTTAAGAATATAATTTTCAAATATAAATCTTACAAAACCATTTAAATCTTTTTATATTAAAATAATATTGTGAACATTTTATTTTATCTTTCATTATACTGGAATAGGCTTTCTTTTTATTGAGGTAATTAGATTCAATGACTTTTCAAAGAGAGAAATAGACTGTGTTTAGAAATAAAAGAAAGCTAATTTGATAGATAAAGGTGTTAAATAAATTGGCTCAGCAAAATCTGATATTAATTATTTTGATATCTTAGAAATAAATTATATTATTTCAACAAAAGGAAATATAAAGCAAGAAGCTAATCTTGCTAAATTAAAAATGAAGCAGAAAAGTGTGAAAGGATGCTGATACTTGAGCTTACAATACCAGCAAAACCCTTTTCCGCAATTTTTGCATGTCATATTGTTGCATCCTCCATTTTTTATTATGTAAATATTGCAATGAGGACATGTTTTTGCAAAGATTGCTTTATATAATTTAGATTTAAGTTCTTTGAAGCTAAACAACAAGGAGAATTTTTAAAAAACAGTTTATCCTTTATCAGCTATCCACTTTAAATCACAGGAAGGACAATCAAATTAGTCTTAGCAATTTTAGTTGTCCACCCATCCAACGTTTTGGCATTTCTTTGAAGCGCATTTTATGAATAGATCGCTTTTTTTAATAAACAGTTCAGAAATTTAAATCATCGTTTTTTTAAATTTATCTTGATTCTGTAATATTTTTTCTTATGAGAAAGACCGTTTGCATCTAGGACAATATAAATTAGGCTGATTACTGTTGTCTTACAGGTTTTCTATTTATGTTTTGATTTATTAGGCAAACCAAGAATCCAAACAAGAGTAGCATATGTTACAAAAAAGGCAAAACTTGTTTTATTTATCAGTTGTTTAGTAGCAAACCAAACATGAAAAACTTTTGCTTGTTAAATTTACAGCTAAATCTTTAGCTTTTTATAATAAGAATTTGTAAATGTAGTAAACAATTAAAATAATTGCTTTTATAAATCTCATTTTAATATCCTATTAAAATTTTTGAATTAGTATTATTTATAAAAAATGTTGATTTATTAGCTGCTTAAACTGTAAAAACTGCTAATTAATTGATCATAATAAATTCATTTGCATACCGTTTCTAAATACGTCACCAAATAGTTGGTATGAGTTTTCAATTAAAATAGATAATTAATTAAATCATAGAAAGATTTCTAATTTTTAGCTTTAAATTTCTGATTATAAAACTTTAAAAATTAACATTTCAATATATTATTCTTCTTCTACTAAAATTTTCATTTTCCATGAAATTTTCATCAACTCATTTTAATATCTTTGCAGAAGAGAACCAAAAAAACAAAGAATACATTGAATGTTTAACTTTAAAAATATTAGTTTCTAAAATAAAAATATTAACCTTCAATATTAATATTAGTTTAATTAAATCAATTAAAAAATATTTTCATCTTGATTGTTTATAAAATTTCATTTATGTATTAGAAATTTGAATTTTATATTAGCTAAATCTTTTTATCAAAAATAATTTGAAAAAAAGTTTTATCTTTCTTAATTACTATTTGATAAACAATATTAATTTTATTTTTTATTTAAATCTAATCCAATAAATATTTAATTTAAAAAAATTATTTTACAAAGAAACAGAGAATTTACAATCTGAGTATTTATTTTGAAGCCAAAAAGTTCAAAATTGATAACTATCATACAAAATTTTTCTCCTCCAAGTATTTCATTTTGAGGATTATATTTTATATCATTTTTAAAAACTTGTTAACAAATTGGCATAATTAGATCATTAATTCGTAGTAACATATGATGATAATTAATTTTACAGAGAAGTATTTGAAACATAATTTATCAATGTGTCAGTAGTGAGTGACATAATTGGATAAAACAGTTTTTAGATCAGGAATTTATTCAGATGTTATTTGAATTTGATATGAGTTGATAAATTGAATAAAATTTAATTTGTAAATATTATCAAAACAAAAAAATATCTTTTGTTTGCTTGAATATTTTCATTTGAAATATCTTTCAGAAAATTTCATTAAACGCTGTAAGTAGAAAAGCATTAATTGAACATATTTTAAGAAAGATTTAAATGGAGAAACAGTCAGAGTTTGTCTGAGAATTCGGTTGGGAGAGATTTGTCTGAAATTATTCAAAAAATTAAAATTTTGATAAAATTAAAAATGAAAATTATGAGAAATTTTATCTTGTATAATTTTAGTGTGAAAGATTAAATTAAAAATTTTGATTATTTTATAAATATTAATATTTTTATCCTAAAAATGTTCATGAATCAAATTAAAATATAATTCAAAAAAAAAACTAACTTTTTAAAGATTAAATTAAAATATTTCTTTTAAATAGGACTTTGAATTAAAATAAAATTTAAGAAGAAAAGATTAAAATAAATATTGTAAAATAAAATACAAACATAAATGACATATAAAAAATTAAATTTTTTATTATTATTTATTTCATGCAATAATATTAAAGAATTTCGATTAAGAAATCGATTTCATTGATATGTTTTCGTTGATCATCTTTGCAACCATAAAAGATCTAAATCCTAAAATTGAGTATTTTTTCTTATACTCTTCTACGATTAATAGCTAGTTACTAAAAGGCTTTCCTTTTAGTTATTAAGCCTTCTCGAAATAGACATTATGCTCATTCTTGAGCTAATTTATGCTTTTTCTTTCTTTTAGTTTTGGAATGCCAAACTTTGTCTTATAAAACCTTTTATCTTGTGCCATTTTATTGAGGATTTCCTAAAAGTCAATTATAAATTCGAGAACCTAGTCATTAGCAACATTTTCATTTTTTATCTTATTTAGCTATTACTTTATATAAAGACTTTTGTCTTAAGGAATTACTTCCTTTTATTCTAGACATTCAGTCATTAGATTTGGAGGTTATCCTTAATGCTGAGTAATGCCTCTCTCTTAGTTAATTTTTTTCTATACTGGTTAAAGCTACTCTGCTTATTCTACATTTAATTTTTTATGTTCAACATTGTCATTTTTCATCTTATTTAGCTATTACTTTATATAAAGACCTTTGTCTTCAGGAATTACTTCCTTTTATTCTAGACATTCAGTCATTAGATTTGGAGGTTATCCTTAATGCTGAGTAATGCCTTTCTCGTAGTTAACTTTTTTCTATACTGGTTAAAGCTACTCTGCTTATTCTACATTTAATTTTTTATTCTTATCAAGGTAATCAATGATCAGCGATTCGCTTTCAATATGATCTTAGGGAATTTAGCTGAATTTTTCTCCTGCTTTTAGGTCAAGCATATTATTACTTAGTTCTATTTGTCTATCTGAAGATAAAAATTAAATATCTTTGAGTCTATTCTAATTTTTATCACAAGAAATTTCATCATCTTTGACTCCAAACATAAGAGGCTTAATGTTGGTAGGAGTATTTTCTCCCTTTTACTCAACAATGTTACTTTTTTCACTTACTTTCCTCTTTGTTACTATCTGTTTGTACATATTTTTTAAGGCTTAGAGCACCTAAGAAGTCTAATCTTAATTATTTTCATCCGATTTTATCTAGATATTAATGCTCTTGTAATAAAGCACAAATCTTTCATATTAGTGTAATGAAGTAAATCTTAGTTTTAACTACTTATTCTTCTTTATGTAGTTAACTTAGACACTTTTCATGTCAATTTAGTGAGTTTAGCAAAAGGCATTAATATCCAAGCCTACTTAGGGATCTATATCCTGTAAAAATATCAAAAAAGCAGCATCAGGTTATTTCATAAAGCTCTTAAAGACTTTGGATTAGTATTCACTTTCAAAAACAGGTTCTATACCATGAGTTTTGTGCAAAATTCGTAGCACCAATACAATTTCATCATTTAGTTGCATATTTATCACTTAATTTACATAGTCGATCTACTCGTCTGTAAGCGCAATTCTAGTCTTCCTTTGTTCGTAATTAGTTTTAGCATTGTATTATTTTAAGTAATATTCTTACTCTTCCTTAGGTAAAGAATTTAAATCAAATTAAGTGCTTCCCCATGATGCAACAGCGTAGAGCTTACCATTTTCTTCTATTAAATAATCGATTTCGTAGGGATAGAGCTTTGTAAATTCCCTAGCTTCATTTATCTTCATTTTCTGTATTACTTATCCATTAAGTTTTTTCAACTGCACTGAAATCTACTGTTCAAGTTCCAATCCAATGTTTATACTGTTCTTAGGATCTTTCATAGAATTAAATAAATCCTAATTTTTTTATTTTTATTAAAATAAAAGTTAATAAGAGTGATTTAGCACTTCTTCAATTAAAAAAAATTTTTAATCTTATTGTTGAGAATTCGTAATTATTGTTAATAACTAGACTAGACAAATTAGCAAACTACTTCAGAGAAAGAATTACTTAAAATTTTAGGACGTAGTGCCTAAGGTATTTTAAGCTAGAAATTAATATCTATCAGAGGTAGTTCCCTAATAGGTTATTATTTCTCTTTACTTGTCATTCAATTTTGGTTAATTTTGTTGGTAAATAGCTGAAGAAATATTTTAATTACAATCTACTTAAGTAGATTTGAAAAGTAATTTTAATAAATACTTAATTTAGATCTTCTTGGAGCGAAACAGGCATTAGCTCATCCATTTCATTTTTTTAAATTAGCTTCCTAGGTTAGGATATTAAATCAAGAGATTAGATTTGTTTTCTTTTATTATTTTTCTAAGGAATATTACTCATAACAATTTCAAGCAAAATTACTTATTTATTTATTTTAATTTTAGTTAGTTCTATTCAATATAATTCTATAATATCAATCTTATTACAATAAATTTAATATTTTTTAATAAGTAATCAAGAAATTTATATTTATAATAATCTATTAATAATAATATTTATTAAATCTAATATTAAGCAATTTGTTTAAGAAGCAATCTTAAAGGAATTACCAATATCTATTTATATTATCTAAGCAATTTATTTATATCAAGCAAAATAAATATTAAGAAATTATCAATATTCTATGTATTATCTTAGCTTATAATTTATTTATTTTACAATTATCTTTTTATTATTTTTTATCAATCTTTTCTTTAATTAATTATTGTAAATTTTTTATAAATCAATTGCTTCTTAAATTAAATATTTTTTCCTTGATTGTATATTGGTTGTTAAAAAACTCTTAAAAATTTTTTAAAAAGTTTTTTAAAATGTTGTAAAATGTAGCCCTCTAAGTGAAAAGCTTGGAGGGGAAAATTTTGGCATGATAGATCTCGATCTCGATTTCGATTTTGAACCTATTGGCTTTAAAATACTCCAATTATAAATTATCTAGAAATTAACTTAAAAAAAGAATTGAAAATATTAGAAATTTTAAAACAAATTCATTTGAATAATAAAAAATACAATAAATTAATTTTAAACTTATATTGATGTTTAATATCAAAATCAATTTTCATATATAAAAAGCAACAAGTCTTTTAGTTTTAAATAATTAAGATAAAACTTTTCTTCTAAAATTGTGGTTTTCTTAATATTCTTCATCTCTTTTTTTAATTTATAAATGAAATAAAAAGTTAAATTATAAATTAAAAAATTAAATACTGTGTAACAATAACGATATAAGTTAGAGTTTAACTTTTACTAAGGTTTTTCACCATAAGCAAAATATCTTAGTTTTAAATTCTGTTTAGACTTAGTTATAAAAGTAGAATTAATTAAGACTTAATTTAAATTGCTTATTAATTATTTTTAATATTACGAAATATTTAGTTGCAAAATTTTCAATGTCGGAAATAGGCTCAAGTATTTGCCAATTTTTAAGCATCCCTTTTATTCTATGTTATTTCCCCTAATAAAGATAATGGCTTTTATACATAAATTTAATATAAATTTACCTAAGATCTAAATTAAGACTTGTTAATTTTTTGCAAAATGCTAAGAGTTTTGCTATTCTTTTTGATTCTTAACAATTTAAGTTTAAAAATCTTTTTAATAAAAAAATCTAATTAAATTGTTTGTTACCCTATTTAAAAACCTTACTAAAAACTTAAATGCAATGAACTCAATTTTTCACAACTTTGAAGATTTTTAGCTAAATAAAATGCTTAATTTTAAGTTATTTAGTTAGCCCTTTAAATTAAAAAGTATATAAGTACAATAAAAAATTATAAAATACTTTTAAAAATACATGACTATGACTTATAAAGACTCAAGAGTTTTGCAATTCTAAAAACTGTTTCCAAGGTGATTAGCAGATTATTGATCAATATTTATTATGCTAATTTATTATTTTGTTTAGAATGTATATTGTTTATAAAATATTTTTGATACTATAGAAATAGGCTTAGTTAAGTAATAATATTTGTTGAAGATAAAATATCTCCTAGCCTCACGAAGTCTTCATTAAACATGAAAGGATTGCTTTTATTTTATTAAATAAATTTAATATCATTTATCAATTTCATTTGTTTAAATTTATTTTATCAAATACAGAAATCAAGAAAATGTTTATTTTAATACAAAGATTGACTGAATTGCCCGCCTAGCTCAGTCGGTAGAGCGCAAGACTCTTAATCTTGTGGTCGTGGGTTCGAGCCCCACGGCGGGCTATCCGCTTTTTTAAATTATTAACTTTTTGACTTAATTTTTAATCAATTTATAAACAGTGATAGTTTTTAATGATTAGCATTAATATTTAAAAAAATTTAACTAGTTTAAATGAAATAATTTTATAATTTAATTAATTACTAAATATTCATTGTAAGTGTTGAAAGATTTTTGCATTTTAGTAAATGTTCACACACAAATGAAGAATTGTCTTCAGAGACCTAAGATTAACTAAAAATTAGTTAATTAATTGTAATTTATGTTTAATTTACTTAAAATATAGTCCTATTTATTTCAAGCTTTATAACTTTGATAAAGTTTCTGCTATAACTTCAAATAATTATTTATTTTATACTCTTTAGACAAAAAAAATGTTCTTAAAATAAATATTTTGTATAATTTACTTATTTTATCTATTCATAAAAGTGAAGCATTTTTAAAGCTCTTTAATTCCTACTTATTGATTATCTTTTCTTTAAAAATAAATGAAACTAAATATATCAAATAAAATTTACCTAATATTTAGTTTCATATTAACAATATTTGTAGGCTTATTAGTTTAATTTACATCTTATTTGTATGTCTTTTCATTCATAATATCTAATTATCTTTGATAAAATCAGTAATATATATTATAAAAATAACTTTACCTTATGTCTAAAATGATTGTGTTAACACATGAATATTTTAATTATTCTCCTATGACGAGTATGCTTTCTAAAAGGCAAGTTGTATTTCTTAATTTTTCAATTAATAATCTTAATTAGAATTTATAATAAAATTATATTTTAACCTAAAGTCTAAAGCCAATGTATGCAAATTTTTATATTATTAAATGAGAGTTGCCAAATCGATAGCATCTGCAATTTAAAACTTTTTTATCCTTAAGATTGAAAGTGTATTCAATTATTTAAATAACTAAATTTTTTTTTACTTTAAGACAAAAAATAAGGTTTAAGAAGAAAAGTCTAAGGTTTCTGCAGTTGAAATTATCTTCAAAAATAAATTAATTTATTCTTTGATTATCCTGTTATTATAAATTACTTCTTTAAAAGAGTTAAAGACTGCTTCTTTATTTCTACTCTAAGATTTATCATTTTTTTAACTAATTACTTTTTAATTTTAATTAATATTTTTTTAATGATAAATTGCTTACATATTAAGTCCTATTAACTAAAATTTTTCTTGATAGTTAAGATTTGCATGATAATTTTTATTTTTTTAAATAATTTGATGATGCCTATAATAAAATTAATTAAAACTTATTTTAATTTATACATTTTTAATTAATAGGTTTTTATTTTTAAAGTTTTTTTTTCTGCTTTTCTTGAAAACAAAAATTGTGATATTATTTATTTTTTTATTGATTTATTTAAAGAATTAATTGATATTAGAATTTATTGAAATCATAATTTTCATGTCAAGCAATATTTTTCAAAGTCAAATATATCAGCTTAACTATTTTTAATTTGATAATTTAAACAAGTTAATTATTTACTTTTTTATTAATTTATATTTTACTTTGATTTATTAATATACTCAATATGACTTTCAGTGCTGAAAATACTAAGAATATCCTAAAAATTTTATTTACTTTTTTAATTTAATGCTTCTCTACAACCTTCTAATTCTAATAATCTTAATCCAGAAATATTAATTTTTTATCAAGTCATATTTGAATCTTTAGTAATTTTTGACGTATTAATATATATGGCTAAATCTTAGGATTGTTTCCTACATTAACTTTTAAAAGTAAATAAATTTTATTTATAATTTAGATGTTTTTTATAATTAAATTAATTATTAATATGTAAAAATAACCTAAATATGTATTCATTTATAATAGCTTTCCTCCCAACACAAATTTTTCATAATAAAATTGTTAAAACAAAAATATTTCAAAAATTCTAATTAGAATGTTAATTTTAATTTATTTTTTAAATTAATTGATTTTTTTTATATAACCTCGATTCTTAAAAAAATGATTAAAATTAAATAACATTCCAAAATAATTTCTTCATTTTTAAATGAAAAATCTTATTAGATGTTAAATAAAATATATCAAATTAAATATATATATATTTTTTTAATTCTTTTAATTAATAAGTATTAATTAATATTTTATTCGAATCAATAATTTATGATTTTCTTCAAAAAAGTTCTACTTTCTTTATAAAAAAATACTATTAAAAATAAATCAGTTAGATTATAATGTAAAAAATTTATTTTACCATCATCTCATTTCATTTTTCAATAGGAAAAATCCCAAAATAATATAAAGAAATGAAACATCAGTAGCATTTAAAATACATAAATTATTTAATTGAATAAACAATAAAATATTAAAAAAGTATCATAAACTTATTATACCAAAATCTTTATAATTTCTCTGAAAAATAGAAATTTTTGAATTAAGTTATTAAAATCCTTCATCATTTTTGAATAATATTTTGACAAAATAGTATTTTTTAACTTTCCTTTTTAGAGAAAATGTAGAATATATAAAATAAATAAGATATAGAAATAATTAAATGTATTATTAGAATAATAAAGTATTTGCTTTGTTAATTAAAAATATTAATTTAATAATTTAGTCTGATTGTTTTTTACTTTAAGGATTTTACTTATCATTTTATTTAGAAAAGAAAAACAATCCCAGCTTAGAAACCAAACATAAGAAAATAAAAAACTTCAATCCATCTAGTAAAGTAATACCATAAAACCAAATCGAAAAATAAAAGAACTAATCCAGCTAATTTTTATCTTGACCCAAAAATAATAAAAAAGATGATAATAAGTGCTACTTAATAAACGCATCTAAAGAAAAAGTAAAATACGCTTAAGATCCCAAATTATAAGATTAAATAATTCAGACTAAAGCAACTTGCTAATGATGAAAATAAATAGTTATAGAAGTTGCATTTATATAAAATTAAATTTAGTGGTCCAAGCAATGTCAAAGCTTTAAAGAGACAAATTAAAGTGCAAATTAGATTAAAACTACTATGAATTGGTAATTTGCAATTCCAACAAAATGATTTCTTACATTTACCACATGTCATATGTTTACATCCTCCATTTTTTTAGATACATGTATTGCAGTATGGACAGTTTTTCGTGAATATGAATTTAAATAATCTAGATTTAAAATCTTTACTGAAAATTTAAAGAACCATTTTCGTCAAGCTTATTTTATTAGGATTTTACCACTAATAATTGCAAGCAGTACAGCTAAAATCTGATCTGCATTATTAATTAGCAACCCATCCTATATTCTTACAAGTTGAAGAAGGGCATACGATATAGGAATCATCTTTTTTAAGAGAAAAATGAGTGAGAGCATCAATCGAGTTACTAAATATTTTTTGAAATTTTTTTAAAAGTCCTATAGAAATATCTTTCATGCACGAAGGGCAAGATACCTTAACATTAGAAAGTTAAGATTAAGGATCACCAATTTAGTCTTTTATTTACTAACTGAACCACTAGTCTAAACAAGTAGAACACAGTTGACAATTTTAGCAACATACATTCTTATCAATGTACTCATTAAGGCATATTTAACAACTTTCAAATTTTTACTTTACTTATTGTTTTTCTTTATTTTAATTCTAAGAATCTTCACTTTCAGAGCCCTTAAAAATTTTTCTGAAAAAATTTTTAACTTTTTTCATTTTGCTTTAAAAAGAAATCTTTTTATAAATTCTAAGTAATAAATAATATTTAACAATTTAATTTATTATAAAACAAACTTTTGTAGCAAATCATAAATTTAAGTAAGTGTCAATTAGCTAGCCAGTTATTTATTTATTTATTTATTTATTTATTTATTTATTTATTTATTTATTTATTTATTTATTTATTAAAATAACTTTCTATACCTTTTATTTTTTACTCTATATCAATTATTAAATGTCTATATTAATTGGCAATATTCTTATTAATTCTAATTATTCTATTTTTAATACATTTCTTATATTTCTGATTAGGATTCATCTTTAAATAATCTTCTATATATGGAAATATTAATTTTTACATTTTTAATAAGTCATATTTTTACTCTTTATTAATTTTTTTGACATATTCGCAATAATAACAAAAATCACTGTCTGTCTAGCTATTTAAAAAATTAGAATTTATTGTAGAGTCAATTTTTTCTATTATAATTATGGCGTCTGTCTAAGCCATAATAAGTTAATAAATTAGGTTCATATTTACCAGATATTATTTTATTAAAACAATTAAGAATTCAAACAATCTTTAAAGTATTTAAAATATTAATTTATGAGATATAGTTCTACTAAATATTAACTTCTATCTCAAATAATTAAAGTAAAAATATTTATAAGAAAATTTATCAAAATTGAATTTTTTTTTATTATTAAAAATTTTAAATCGTCTACTTTTACTTTGCCATAATAAATTTAATTTGTTTATGCAAATTTGTTAATTTCTGTCTCAAACTATTCTTTTTTATTTACCAAAAACTGTTGATATAATTTTTAAAATATTAATTTGTTTAGACAAATTTTTTTAAAAGTATTTTTGCTAAACAAAATCATAACGATTTTTAAAAATTATTTCTTTGATGGAAAAAATTTTATTTTTATAATTTTCAAAAAAATTTTTCAAAATTTAATAAAAATAGGTTGATAAAAAAAATTAAAAAATAAAAAGTGTAAAATTAGCTTTAAATCATAAAAATTAAATGAAATATCACGATCTGTATGTACCTACACAGTTCGAGATATTTTATTACAGGATTAGCTATAATTACTTGTTAAATTAATTATTAATTATTTTATTAAAACAATTATTTTAATTTAAAGATTTTAGATTAATTTTTTATTATTTTAAATGCAAATTAATAATATGAATTCTAAAATAAAATTAAAGTAAATAAAAATAATGACACAAATAAGCTACTAATTTTGAGTTCATAGTTTATATCTTTTATTAGAAATTTCATTTTCTTTTATAAGAATATTCTTTTAAATCAACTAATCAATAAGTGTTTATTTTATAAGCTTAAACTATCATTTAATCATTCATCATTTTTTATAATTGTATATCACAATTAAAATTTATCCTAAAATCAAAATAATATAAAAAATTTCAGTCCATATTGTAAAGTTATACCATAGGATTAAGTCAGCAATAATAAAAATAATAATTCGTTTCTTCTTTCTTATGAAGAATTAATACAAGATATAAAATAGCCCTACTTGATACGTCATCCTAAAAGAAAAGAAAATCAAATTTAGATATCCAAACTAAAATAAAAAATTATAAAGATTTATAGAATTTGAAAGCAAGGAATATAAGCCATAATAAAAACTTAAATACCATAAAGTAATATTAAAAGGAATAAGAAACAAAACACTCTAGAATAAGCATATCATAAAACATATTATATCAAAATCCGTATGGGTTTAAGACTTACAATTCCAGCAAAAAGAGTGTTTGCATTGACTACAAGTTAGTTCTCTGCAACCTCCATATTTTTAAATCCTAGATTTACAGTTAGGACATGATTTTGTAAATAAACTTTTATAAAGTCTAGATTTAACATCTTAAGGGCAGAATTAATTTACAATCAAATTCATAAAGCTTATTTTATATGGATTTTACCATCTGTAATTGCAAACAGTACAATTAAAATATTTCCGACAGTTTTTATTATCTATCCATCCGATGTTTTTGCAGATAGGAGATGGACAAGATATATAAGATTCATCTCTTTTTAAGTAAAACTGTGTAAGACTATCTAAAGAATTACTGAAAATACTCTATTTCTTTTTGATTTCTGCAAGTCTAATATTTTTCATGCAAGAAGGACAAAAAATCTTCAAATTTATGAGCTCGCATTAAGGATTACCTATTTAATCATTTATTTGTTAGCTAAACCATTTATCTAAGCAGCCAAAGCAAATAAAGCACTTTACACAAAACGGGTTCTAATCTCTGTAAATTTCATAACACACTTCGCATGTTAATAGTTATTTATCTTATATTAATTTATCACTATCGCCTTCAAGAGTATTTAAAATTCCTCTCAAAATACTTTTTAAAGCATTCATTTTTCAATTAAAAAATAATATTTAAAGTATTTAATCTTTATAAAATAAAATATAAACCACATTTAAACAAAAACAACATATAAAGAATTTTAATAATACTTGAATAACTAAGGTGGGTTCAATTTAGATTATTGATAACATTAGCTAATTAGTGGTTACAATACGATTAATTAATATTTAGTAATTATTCAATATTTGACGCACCTTTTTTTAGTTTATTAACAAACAAACTCACATTCAATTTTAGTGACTCATCTATATATCAATTAATTAATCATATCTACTATACGTCAATATTTATAATTTAAATATCTATACTGGCTTTGGATAAAATTCTACTTCTTCCCCTAAGAGATAGTAAAATTCTAGAAAATTTATTTATTCTTTTACATTTTCTTTTGTTTCATAAGGTTCATCAAATTTAAATTTCTAATATTCATTTAGTCTATAAAATCCATTAATAATTAGATTTTATTTCTTTATTATTTTATCATTTAAAGTATTTTTTTTATTATTTAAAGCTAAATAAAATCACATTAAAAAATAATAATAATTATTCATTCATTCATTTCCAACAATAATTTTCTTTTTATTCAATATGAAAAATTTTTAATATCAGTAAGAAATATTGAATAATTTCATTATTATTTTAGCTTATAAATAATCTTCTTTAATAATTTAGCTTATAATTCTATCTAAATTAATCAATTTGAATTGAATAACAAATATAAATAGTTATAAAAAAATAAAAAAGATTTTAAGGAAAAAATTGTGGATAAAAATGTAAATTCAAACAACTAAAAAAAAAATTTCTTTGCTTTTACTTAAATAATTTATTTTTTGTTTGAGAATTTTCGCAAAGGTAAATAATTAATCAAAAAGTAGCACTCTTAAAAATAAATAAATAATTATTATAAAATAAAAGGACTTTTTAAACAATATTTAAACATGAAAATCATTAAATAATAATATCAAAAAATAATTTTAAGATAAACAATATTTATGGGATAATTAATAAATAATATGCTACTTCCATCCATCTGGTGAAGAAAAACCAAAGAATAATATCAACTACAGTTATTATTCTCCATATTACAGAAATATCACTTTCAAAAATATTCAGTGGAATCAAAATTGCTAGACCATTTTTGTAAATTAATCTGAAAAGAAAACTAAAAAGATAAATAGGTCCATTTTATTAAAAGAAGTTTAGAACTGTAAAGAATTCTTTAAGTTAATTGATAGCTGGATCATAAACTCCATAATAGTAGAGTAAATAATTAAAAGGAAGTAAAACTAAAAGGCAATTAAATAGGCAAATCATTAAGCAATATAAAGAAAATGTATAAAACTCTAATTATTTACATTTCCAACAGTACAATTTATCACAATTTACGCATTTTATTTTATAATAATCACCTAATTCATATATTCTATAGCACATTAAGAACATTTTTTAGTCAAAAAAATCTTAAAAAGCTTAATGAAAAGCTCTGAGTAGCTAAATTTATTAAGAGAGTTAGGTATATTTGAACCACAATCACATTTAATTTTACATTAATTGCAAGTTAATTTTTTGCAATCTTTACTTGCCCAACCAATTTTATTGCAATTAGAATAAGGATAAGTTTGAACGAACTGATCCATCCATTTATCTTAGAAATAATCAGAATTAAACCAAGATTAGCTTCTATTTAACTTCTTCTATTTCATGATGATCCTGTCAAATATATTAATTAAAATATTATTTTTTTTTTCAATTTATTTATTTTAGTTTTAATTAAAATATAGGTTTTTGATTTTTTTTATTATTCTTAAATAGCTACTTTTTGTTTGATATTTGTCTTTATTTAAACTTATTCATAATTTAAAAACAAAATTATTAATAAAAACTATTTTATTTTTAATTTTAATTAACATACTTTTAAATTTCTGATCAGATATTCACTAATTTAAATAAAAAGGAAATATTTAAATTAATTTATTCTAAAAAATTTAAATTTTTATCCAATTCAATCAGAATAAATTGACGAAACTCAATAAAATAAATTTAATATAAGATTAGAATCTAATTAAAGAAATTAATAAAATATTTTGAATTATTTATGTCTTTATAGAGGACAAATATATCTAAATAAATAGCATTACTCTTAGATGCTACTAACATATTTATAATTAAAAAAAAATAATTACAAATAAAACTCTTTTAATTCATTTAAATTAATATAATTTTAAAAATTTTATCAGTATTCACTCTTTAATGCTAATTTAAATAAAAAGAAAATATGTAAATTGATTTATTCTAAAATATTTAAATTTTAATCCAATTTAATCAGAATAAATTATTGATACCCAAGATAGTTTAATATTAGATTAAAATCTAATTAAAGAAATTAATAAATGTCTTTTTGAATTGCTAATATCCTTATAGAGGATAAATATATCTAAAATAAATAGATTCTATCTCTTTTTTGCTTATTGATAATTAAAAAAAACAATTATTAATAAAACTCTTTTATAATTAATTCACTTAAACTAATTTACTTCTAAAAATCTTCTCATGCATTTATTTACTCATTAATTTTAATTAAAATAAATGAAAATATTTAAATTAATTTATTCTAAAAAATTAAATCAGAATAAATTGTTGATGTTCAATATAGTTTAATATTAGATTAGAATCTAATTAAAAAAATTAATAAAGTGATATTGAATTATTTATATCTTTTTTTAGAGAGGACAAAGAAATCAAAAACAAATAGCATTAGTTTTTAGATAATTAAAAAAATGTCATATTGAAACATTTTATGGTAAAGTTTATTTATTCTACTTTATGCTCTAGAAAATAAAATACATGTATTATTTATATTCAATCTACATATAAAGATTAATATATTTAAGAATAATATAGTTATGCAATATATAAATATCGACTGCCTCTTTTAATAATAATATCTCTACATAAATTTTATGATTTTTATATTTATTTACCTGTTTATTCTGCTAATTGCATTTACAAATGAAATAACTTTGAATTATGTTCATAAAATAAAATAAAAAAGTTAATGAAATTTTATTATTGAAAACAATCAAACAAGTTAATTAGTTTATGACTAAAAAAATATGAAGGCTTTCAAAGAATGGTTAATAGTTGGTTAATTTATAATATATAAAAATTATATCAATAATTTATCAGAAGAGAGAATTCTATACTTAAATGATCTTTGCAACAAAGTTTGTGTCAAACATTTTATTTGCAAAATTTTCAGAATATATGAGGTCTTGAAAGTAGGCATAATAAAAGATGCTTAAAAATAGGCTCTCATTTCTATTTTTTAAGATGATCAAATGCTTGTAAAACTATTCTTCTCTTTAGTTTACTCTTGTTAAAACTGATAAACTCTAATTTTGAAGATTATTACTTTTAAATATGATAGTTCTTTACTATTCAAAGAATTCAAAATCTTAATCAACTATATCTAAATGTTCAGAATCGTATATTTCCTCTAGATCAACAAATTCAATATTTTAATCTTAAAGAATTTATATACAAGATTACAGAATTTTATAATCAATTTCAAACGTTTTTTAGTTTCCAGAAAAAAAAGAAAGAGATTTTTACATTAGATTAAAGTATATGATAAAGATGATCATATCTTAATCTTCTTAATTGTTTATTAATTTGCTTAAATTAGCTCTGAATTTTTATTCTAAAATATTCCTTAAATGTTAAATATTCTAACTTGTTTTATTTTTTTCAAATCTTTTTTATCTAGAATATTCAATTACACTTTATATTAAATAATTATTAATACTTTATATTTTCCTTTTATTTAATAAATTTTTTATTAAATCATAGTCGAAAATAAAGATTGATGATGGAATTAAAAAAAAAAAAAATGAAATGATAAATATTTTAAATAGATCTAAAAAATTTATTTTTTCATTTTATTTTTTTTTCATTAATTCGTAAACTCTAATTTCTTCTGGTTTAATTGATTCAAGATTAGAGTAATGATTAATAATTATTTCTGCGTTTTCATCACTTAAAAGAGTTTAATTATTTGTAAAAATGTCTTTAAGTTTTGTTTAAAATTCTATTTTCCATTTTTAAACACATTTTTCAAATTCTTAACTGAGCTTTATTTCACTTTAAGTTTAATAAGATATAGTTAAAAAATCAAATAGTGCATAAGAAATATGACTTTTTATTTATAATTCTAGTAATTTTTTAGCTTAAATAGAACATTTGCTTTTTATTTTATCTATGCATTCTTCAATTATTTTTGGGAAGATTTATTTTTAAGCAAGCTGGTAATTGATAATACTTATGAATTGGTTCACATTCACATTTCCTTAAATACCTTCTTTTATGATTTAAAAGCAACATATCAGCATTTCCTTAAAACTTCTACAATTCTATTTCTTTTCAAAGGCTTTGCAATTTTCGAATGGAGTTTTATATTAAGATTTTTCACAAAGTTGTTAAATTTCTTCAATTTATTAAATAAATTTATTAAACTTTTCGTCGTTCTTTATCTTACAAGAGTATAATTAATTGTCAAATTCATCATTAAAATCAAGTTGTTAGCATTTAAATACCTTTTATATAAAATTTTTATAATTGTTTTAGTAGCTCTAAATTTTGTCACCATTGCATTTATTAATAACTTCTACAAAATTATTTACTATTTAAGTATTATTATGCTCCTGAATGTTTATAAGTTTTAAAATTTTTTCAAGTGACTTAGGTTATCTAGAATTCTAATGTACGTATAAAATAACAGTTGAAATCCTACAAATAAGACACACTAGTTTTTCAAGACTTTACATATAATTTGACTTATCAGAATAATCAAATCCTTCACAATCAAAAAATACCACAACTTTGTTATTATTTTCTATTGCATAAAATTAAATTCCTTTTGTTATTGAATCAATATCCTAAGAGCTAGGAAAGACCATTAAATAATCTGAGCGGTTTTAATATTTAGAGATTAAAAAGTTTTGAATAAAAGACTTTCCTTATCCAAATTCACCAAGAGTAGTTATTATTTTAATTTCTTTTTCTTTGTTATTATCTAAAAACTAGATAAATTTTGATAACAATAGTTATTCAAAATTGTCATCTTCAAATAATAATTTAACTATTTAACCACTATCATCCTTTTCAAAATAACAAAGAGTTTTTTTCAATTCATCTTCATCTCTTTTCATGTAAATGAATTCAGGTTTTTAGTTGTTCTATTCCATGATGATCCTGTCAAATAAATTAATTAAAATTATATTTTTTTTTCAATTTATTTATTTTTTTTATTTTTTATTTTATATGTTTTTGATTATTTTAATATTCTTAAATAGCTACTTTTTGTTTGATATTAATTAATCTTCATTTTAACTTATTAATTATTTAAAAAAAATAATAAAAAAAAACTCTTTTATTTTTAATTTATTTTAATTAATATACTTTTAAAAGTCTTAATAAGTATTCACTCACTAATTTTAATTTAAAAAAAGAAAATATTTAAATTAATTTATTCTAAAAAATTTAAATTTTAATCCAATTTAATCAGAATAAATTGTCTAAACTCAATAAAATTTAATATTAGATTCGAATCTAATTAAAGAAATTAATAATAATCATTTTGAATTATTTATGTTTTTTTAGAGGACAAAGATATCTAAAAAAATAGTATTACTTTTAGACTCAATTTACTTATTAATAACTTAAAAAGAAAAAAAACACCAATAAATAAAACTCTTTTATTTTTAAAATTTTATCAGGTATTCACTCACTAATTTTAATTGAAATAAAAGAAATATTTATATTAATTTATTCTTAAAAATTTTAATTTTTATAGATTAATCAGAATAAATTGTTGAAACGCGATATTATTTAATATTAGCTTAGAATCTAAATAAAAGATATTAATAAAAATAATTTTAAATTATTTATGTCTTTTATAGAGGAGAAAGAAATCTAAATAAATAGCATTACTTTTAGAGCAATTAACTTATTGATAATTTAAAAAAAAAAACAATAAAAAATAAAACTCTTTTATTTTTAATTTATTTAAATTAATTACTTTTAAAAATTTTATCAGAATTCACTCACTAATTTTATTGAAATAAAAAGAAAATGTTTAAATTAATTATTCTAAAAAGTTTAAATTTTAATCCAAATTAATCAGAATAAATTGTTGATAGATACCCAAGATAATTTAATAATTGATTAATATCTTATTAAAGAAATTAATATAATTCATTATAAATTATTAATATCCTTTTAAAGGACAAATATATCTAAAATAAATAGATTCTTTCTCTTTTTTACTTATTGATAATTTAAAAAAAAAACAATTATAAATAAAACTCTTTTATTTTTAATTCACTTAAATTATTAATTTACTTTTAAAAATCTTCTCAGGCTTTCATTATATTTAAACTAATTTATTCTAAAAATTTTAATTTTAATCCAATTTAATCAGAATAAATTGTTAATACTTAAAATAATTTAATATTAGAATCTATAGAAATTCATAAAGGTGATTTATTTCTTTCTAGAGAATAAATATATCTAAAATAATTAGAATCACTATTTTAATTATTGATAATTAAAAAAAAACAATTATAATAAAAAGTCTTTTATTTTTAATTCACTTAAATTTTAAAAATCTTTTCAGGCAATCACTATATTTAAACTAATTTATTCTAAAAATTTAAATTTTCATCCAATTTAATCAGAATAATTTGTTAATACTCAAAATAATTTAATATTAGATTAGAGTCTAAAGAAATTAATAAAAAAGTTTTTGAATTATTTATATCTTAATAGAGGAAAAAGACATTTAAAATAAACAGCAATACTTTTTTGGCACTACTATGATGTAATACATATTATTGAAACCTTTTAGGGTTAATTTTATTATAATAATGCATTTTCTCCTAAATTAAGAGTGGCTTTAATTAATACCCAAAGTCTATGTTGAAATTAATTTGAATTAAAAATATTTTTTTATTATTGAAAGCTAAGCAAAATCACTAAAAATACCATATCCTTTATTGATTTATTTCAAACAATATTTTTAATAGCATTAAAAATTATTTATAATTTCTTGATTATTTCAAATTATAACAAATAAATAAATAATCTTCTTTAATATTTTAGTTTACAATATTATCAATGTTTCTCTCTTGAATTTAATAACAAAGATAAATAATTATATAAAAAGTATTAAAGGAAATAATTTGTGATAAAAATGTAAATTCATACAACAACAAAAATATTTTTTGCTATTGCTTAAATAATTTACTTCTTTGAAAAGCTGTTTAAGAATTTTGGAAAAGGTAAATAATTAATCAAAAAGTAACACTCTTAAAAAAAATAAATAAGTATTATTAAATAAAAGGACTTTTAAACAATATTTAAACATCAAAATAAATAAATAATATGAATATAATTTCAATCAAAAAATAATATTAAGCTAAACACTATTTATGGGGTAATTAATAAATAATATGCTACTTCCATCCATCTGGTGAAGATAAACCAAAGAATGATATCAACTGCAGTTAATATTCTCCATATAATAGTATTATTCCTTTCAAAAATATTCAATGGAATCAAAATTGCTAGACCATTTTTGTAAATTAATCTGAAAAGAAAGCTAAAAACGTAAATAAATCCATATTAATAAAAGAAGTTTTCTACTGTAAAGAATTCTTTAAGTTAATTGATAGCTGGATCATAAACTCCGTAATAGTAGAGTAAATAATTAAAAGGAAGGACAACTAAAAGACAATTAAATAGGCAAATCAAAAAGCAATATAAAGAAAATGTGTAATGGCCTAATTATTTACATTTCCAACAGAACAATTTATCACAATTTATACATTTGATTTTCTTACAACCACCTACTTTATATATTGGAGCAGTGCATTAAGGACAATTTTTAGTCAAAAAAATCTTAAAAAGTTTAGTGAAAAGCTCTGAGAAACTAAATTTTTTAAGAGAGTTTGGTATATTTAAACCACTATCCCAATTAATATTACATTAATTGCAAGTTAGATTTTTACAATCTTGACTTGTCCAACCAATATTATTGCAATTAGAAGAAGGACAAGTTTGATACTCATCATTTCTCTTAATGTAGAACTTCAAAAGGCTTTATTAAGTCATAGGAAAGGTAGCAAATCTTTAATCTAATTATTCTTTAGTGAAAGGTCTTGTACAGCCTGAACAGTTAAGTTTGAGTTCAGAAGTAGATTTAAGTCTAATATTGTTGCTTTGTAAATCAATTTACTGAGCCATCCATTTGTCTTAGCAAGAATCACAAATAAAGCAAAATTAGCATCTATATTAGAAGGTATTTGAAGTAGTATAACAAACATAGCACTAATAGATGGTTTAGCGACAAATTCTTTGAATATTTTTAATTTCACTTTCCAACTCGTTTAAAACTGTTTTTGCTTTGCTTTATTTATAAATTTTACCTTTATTATTCTTCATTTTATGATTATTCTATTTACCTATTTTTAAACAAATCAAATCTTGTGTGAATTTGTGAGTGACTCTCTCTAATTTATATATCTATTTAAATTCCAATAAAATCTGATATCTTTTCTTTTGATTGGATATTATAGATTAATTAATATCAAAAAGTAAAATAATAGATTAGATCAGATAGATAGATAATCCATGATAAATTAATATATCAAATTTTTAATTTTTAAAGTGTCTATATATGAATATTGATTGAATCTATTAATGATAATCTCCAACATAAATTTTATGATTTTGTTATTTATCTATATGCTTATCACGCTAATTACATTTACAAACAAAATAACTCTTAGTTATATTTATTAAGAAAAAAATAAAAATATTAATGAAACATTATTTTTTAAAATATTCAAGCAAATTAAGGAGTTTGTAACTAAAAAAAATATGAAGATTTATTATTATTTTTTGATATATATTTCTAAAATTTATTTTTTGTAACAAATAAAGGTTATAAATTGTGTTAATATGTTATAAATATAAATCACATCAATCATTTGCTTATTAGTAGAGAGAATTCTATGCTTAAATAATATTTTCAATAAAGTTTTTGTTAATCGTTTAATTTACAAATTCTTAAGAAAAAATGAGGTCTTCAAAGTATACATAATAAAAAATGCTTAAAAATAGGCTCTCATTTCTATTTTTTAAGATAAACAAATGCTTGTAAAACTATTCTTCTATTTGGTTTACTCTTCTTAAAACTGATTAACTTTTTTTTTGAAGATTACTTTTAAAATGATAATTCTTTATTATTCAAAGAATTCAAAATCTTAATCAACCTTGTCTAAATGTTCAGAATAGTATATGTCCTTTAGATCCACAAATTCAATATTTTAATCTTCAAGAATTTATAAATAAGATTACAGAATTTTATAATTAATGTCAAACGTTTTTTCGTTTTCAGAAAAATAATAGATAGACTTTTACATTAGATTAAAGTATATGATAAAGATTATCATATCTTAATCTTCTTAATTATTTATTAATTAGCTTAAATCAACATTGAATTTTTGTTCTAAAATATTCCTTAATTGTTAAATATTCTTTCTTGTTTTATTTTTTACAAATATTTTTTAGCTTGAGTATTCAATCGTTCTTTGTATTAAATCATTATTATCCCTGAATATTTTCTTTTTTATTTAAAAATCATTAAATAGTTTTGCTAATGGAATAGGTTAAAGAACAAAAAAAGTTATACTTTAAATAAATTTTTTAAATTAAGTAAAAAAATTTTTTCCTTTATACAACTTTTTTTTCATTAATTCTTAATCTCTAATTGAAACTAAACGATTAATTCACCTATAAAATGTAGATTCTCAATATTAGATAAAATTCATTTAATAATCATATTTCCCATTTTCAAATGAAAAAAAAATTTTCAAAATTTGTTTTTTTCAAAAAAAATGTTGTATTTAGAATGAATACACGATATATATTATTTCAAACTTTATATTTTGCGAATTTAAAGATTTGTAATAATTCATAAATAAAGCTATTTTAAGCTTATTTAACTTTATTTGTTTTATAATTTAGATATATATGTTTGGTCTTTTGTAAATTAAATAGGCATTTCACTCGATTGTAATGAAAACTAATCTATTTGATTTAAGACACTTGCGTTTTAGTTTCAATTTTTATGAGTGACTGATTTAATTAAAGATTCTATATTAATTCAATTAAATTAAAATAAAATACTAAAAAAATTATATTTAAATTAATTTAAAAAAAAAAAATGTTATGTGAATAAAAAATAAAAAAAAAAGCATATAAATAAATTAAAAGAGTTTTCTTGTTTTAAATTTAATTTTATAACGAAAAATATCACAATCAAAACAAATAAACTGTTTTTACCCAAAATAAATTATCAAACTTTTGAGATTAGTGCAATTTGCTAAAGCAGAACCTAGGTCTGATAGACCTTTTGTACCAAGAATATTAAAGCTTATTTGATATTGAAGAAAAAATATAATGAATCGGTTATTTAGAAGGAGGGATAAAATAAAATAAAGTAAAAATATGAAAATAAAAAAATAAGTTAAATTAAGAAAGATAGAAGAAAAAAAACACCAATACAATAAAAAAAGAAAAAGAAAATTAAATCAAATAAAAAGCTAATATTTATCTTATTTCAATTCGTTTTTATATGTAAAAATATCACAATCAAAAACAAATAAACTGTTTTTACCAAAGATCAAGTTTAAAATTTGAGAGATTAGTGCAATTTGCCAAAGCAGAATTTAAACCTAATACATCTAAATCGTGAATTTAATTTGAACTTTTTAAATATTGAAGAAAAAATATATAATTAATTTGTTATTTAGAAAGAATAATGAAGAAAAAATATAAAACAATAAGAAATGAATTAATAAATAAATAATAAAGGCAAATGTAGAAAATAAAAAATAATTTAAATTAAGATAGATAGATAAAAGAAGAAAATAAAAAAGTACAATAATAAATTAAAAGAAAAGTAAATCAAATTATGATCTATCTAATAAAAAAAATTAAAAGAGTTTTCTTGTTTTAAATTCATTTTTATAACAAAAAATTATGATAATCCTAAAACAAATAAACTATTTTTACAAAAGATCAAGTGTTAAATTTGAGAGATTAGTGCAATTTGCTAAAGCTGAACCTAATCTTAATGCACCAACTGCACCAATTTATTTACTTCTTTTTAAATATTGCAAATAATAATAATAGTATATATAAATAAAATATACCTCAGATCAATATAGAGAACCTAATGAGATAAAAGTGAAGAGTTTAAAAACTTTTTAATTAATTAAAATAAATTTAAAGTATATTGATAAAAAATAAGTAATTACTTCCTCTAACTCGTAGTAATATTTAATCTATTATATCATTTATTTTTTTTCAAAATGTTGAAATGCAATATGGAAATTTAATTAGATAAAAAGAATAAATAAATTATATGAATTTATAAATTTGCATATAGTAAGACAAATCACAAAAAAGTTAGTGTAATATTCTTTATTAAATTTTAATATTTCTATTTAAAAAGTTTACTTAAAAATAAAGTACGAACTTGGATATAAACGATGATGAGAATGCTATCTCATTAGAATAAAATAAATCTTTGATATATTTACACTTTTTTATACCTCAAAATATTTGAGTTTTTTTACAAATTTTAAATGTTTTTATTCAATAGGTATTAGGTTATAATATTCCAAATCGTAAATTAATAAGGTAATAATACATATAAACATATAAAAAATTCATTTAATCATTTTTACTAATCTATTTAATTTCATTAAATGACTAGTGAGTAATTCGTCAGCTTTAGAGTAATACCTTTTAAATTATAAAATAGTTTTTAGAATTATAAATTTAAACTATCTTCAATATCTAAAGCATTACTAACTTTGAATTTCTATTGTATTTAATTATTTTAGTTTCTTTAAGTTCTGTAAAAATGAATCAATGAGTTGAGACATGCTTAATTTACAATATCTTTTAAAAAAATTAAAATATGATAATCTTAAAAAAATTTACACAAGATAAAGTGCAAAATGTTATAGACCTTTTATGTGGCCAATTTGTTCTAAAAACTGGCAAAATCCTAAATTGTCTAGATTAAAATTCTCTCTTCATTAAAAAATTATAATTATTAACTATTTTGGATAAAAATTTTAAAGAATCTCTACGATAAATACAGGTTCAAATATTTTAGCCTCTAACAATAGATTAAGTTGTTAGCAAAAATTGTTAATCCTTTGCAACTAAATTCGTTTTCCCTAATTTTTATTCAAATTATTAGATTATTAAAATCTTTTAAATAAACTACCATATGATTAAATTAAAGTCTTCAAGCCTATTCATGTCCTTAACTATTTATCCAGCAGTTGAAATTCCTTCATCAGCTATATTACCATGCCTCATTTTTTTTAAAATTTAGTTTAAATTTACTTTTAATAACTTATTTTTTTTTTAAATTTGTTTATCTATCTTATTTTCAACTATTAAATAATCAAGCTAAAAATTGAATTAAATAAAAACTTTTTTATCTTAAAAAATATTTTAATATATTTTTTCATTAGAAAAATAATAATTAATTATGTGTTTACCCAATATCTAATTTCAAGCAAGATAGATTTTCTAATTTTTAAATTCCTTAAAAAAGAGTAATCAGACCTTAATCTTTAATTTGGTTCTCTCTTTATTTTTATTTTATTAAACAGAGAACTTAATTAAATGCTAAAACTACTTTATGTCAATATCTAATGAAACTAAAGATTTGAACTATTAAATTGCTTAGGAAATATGCACACATTCAGTTTCTCCTGCTCCAATCTCACTAAAATAAATTTAATTAAATTTAAATTAAAATTCTAGGTAAGGAATAAATTTTACAATAGACTTAAGCAAAGGAATTTGATATTTTAAATAGAAGAAAATTGACTTAAAGAGAATGAAAATGATTGTAAATCTATTTGAGATAGGCTATTTAAAATAGAAATTATTTGTTTAAAATTACTTTGCTAATATTGAAATTTACTTTAAATCAATAATTAAATGAGAAAGATTAGAAAAATTTGCTAATTCAATCAAAAGCTAATCTAATCTATGTAAGTCTGCATCATAATTACTTTATTTAATCAAATAATTAACAAAAAGGTGTTTATTTTATAAGATAAAAATACTTCATATGAATTAAAACTTTAGAAATTATAAACTAATTTAAGTAAGATTTAATAGTTTTGTTAATATCATCTTTATCATTTTCATTTATGTACATATTCCTATTTTTGAATTAAATAAAATGATATTATTATTTTTAAAAATATTAATAACTTTTTACTTTAATAAGAATCCAATTTCATACTCACTTTAGCTAGATTTAATAGAATTGTTTTTTTTTAGTATTATTGATTTATTGTTATCTTTCATTTTATAATCAACTTTTATTTTTAAACTAAATAAATAAAATCATGATTTTTTGAATTATTTTAAATTTTAGTGTTATTTATTTGAATTTAGATATTTTTTTAGACAGTATTAACTTGAGATTATTAATTAATATTTATTAATTAGATTTCAAAAAAGTTGATTTAAGTTTTTGTATAAAATTAAAACTAATAAAATATTAAATTTAATTATTTTAGTTAAAAATAATGCAAAGTTAATTCTTCATATTTTAGACTTTAATTTGGACAAAATTTTGTAAAATAGCATATTAATATAAAGAGAAATTAGGAGAAATTAAGTTTAATAATAATTATTTTTTTCAAAATAAATTTATGAAAAATAAAATTGCAGATATCATAATATATAGTATATCAGGCTTTATAATAATTTAATTTATAATTGAATTTAAAATATTTTTTTTGAGAATATCTTTTATATCTTAATAGTTAGTGAAAAAAAAAAAGCTTCAAAAAATAGTTTAATTAAAATAGATAAAATAGTTTAATCAAAATTTAAAAGAATAATATTTTGTTAAGTAATAGATAGAGACTAAAGAGAAGATATTTAAAAGCGTTATTATAAAAATTAATCTATAAAAATGAATTTAATACCAAATAGAATTAACATAAAAAAGCAAACAAGTAAATAAATATATTTTAATTATTTGCATAAAATACTTAAAAAATATATTTAGTATAAAAATTCATTTGAAAGTTTGTTTTGAAGTTATAGAATAGGTCTACTTAAAAGGATTTTCAATTTATTTTTTTTGTGAGTCTTGTTTTGAAAATTCTTGCATTGCAATGTGCCTGGCATGCATGGGATTCATACTCCATTTGATTGATAAGTCGCCAACATCAACAGGTTATTCATTGCTAAATGAATTTAAATTTGAACTCAATGAAGAATTATTTAATATTGCACTATTATTATTTTATGTATTGTATGCATTTACATGATTATTGTAGATTTATTTTAATTTAAGGAATTTTTTAGAACCTATATTATTTTAGTTGATATATTTCCACTTATATTCTATGTCTGACTTGCTGTCAGTAGAAATAATAAATCTCTTTTAAAAAAATTTGATATATAAACCTTTTATTACAAGGAAGATAGTGAAACTTACTATTACTACGTTAATTACTGTCAGACTTAGTAATGTCAACCATGCACATATTTTGTAATTGGTTATCAAGTATAAACATACAAATATGCTGTTTATGAAATTCAAAGTTTCCAAGGTATAGTAATATCTTTATTCGGTTAGGACTATGAAAGGCTTCATATAGAAATGATAAAATAAAAACACGAAATTAGTTATTAGAACTAGGATTGAAGATGCTAGAGGATTTGCAATTAAAAAAATAAACAATAACTAAAATACTTTCCTCAATTCAAAGTAGTACCAGTAATACTTGTTGTAGTGTTCATTAATCATTAAGTTTTATATAAGGACAATATAATTTTTAATATCTTCAAAATTTCCTTTTTTCGGATTATATCTGATTAGCTTTTAAAGGAATCTAAGAGCAAAGAAGATGAAAAATATCAGATAAAGTACTTGCAAGCCTATGCTGATGTAGTCAACTTCTTAAAGATTATAGAAATCAATACTGGTGATTGATCTAAATATTTGCACATACATAAAGTTAGAAAATAGCATTTGCAATTATATAAAAATGCAGTACTTGTTATCATGAAAATATTGAATTATTTTGTTGTTGTTTGGATTCATCAAATTGAAAACCAGAATAACTATTCCAACAAAACCCATGACGAATAGGTACTTTAAAAAGCTATCTATAAAGCCAACACTGCTATCTCTAGATTAAATAAAGGAGAGGCCATTATTCACAAGATAATTTTCAAGCAATCTATGAGAACTTTATTTACTTGTTTAGTTAGTCTCTTATTAAGTTTCAGTCCTAAATGACATATTGTCTTCTGGTCTTTTATTGACGAAATTATCATACGAATAAATGTAAGATAAAGGATTTGGGATCAAACTTAGTATATTCATTTGATAGTTTTGATCGTAATATGTTGGGCCTAAGCTTAGGGTCTTTAAAACTTTTCCTTAAAGCATGTTATTTCCTATAACCTGTTGAAATAAAATAGAACCCTAAGTAAATGAGCCAAGACCAATATAAAATGATCCAACGACTTACAAACTAAGCGAAGTATACTGAGTAGTCTTCATGAATAAATCTGATTTGTTGATAAAATCTATTTCTTGCTAACAGCTATCATCATCTCTGCTCACTCCTTCACATTCATAGCTGTCATATCTTTTATCGTAAACACATAATCCTGTCTTATCATTCACCAAAAATTTATACATACATTTTGTGCATTATTTTTGATTACATTGTAAACAATTTAAGAAAGGGCAAACTTAGCAAACATTTTACTCAGTTACAAACTCATTTGTTTCACAGACTTTACAACTTTCTTGATCTTTACTTGAAAAATGCATACCTTAAACACATTCTGTGCAGAAAGTTAAAGAAGTGCATTTACTACAGTTATTCTCACAATTTGTGCAATAACGAGTTGTTGTATCAATAAATTAATTGTCTAAGCATTCAAGCACACAGACCATGGTGTTATCAGGATTTTTCTAGTATAAGCATTGTTGACATTTTTTAGTTTTAACGTTTTTTTTGTATCCTTCACCACAGTCATAAACACAAGTATTAAATTAATCTAAAAATGCTTTATCGTCTGAACATTCTGTACATTAATTATTCCCCTTACCGAAACATGATTTGCAGCTGCTATGACAATCCTCACAAGATTTTGTTGTTTCGTCAAAAAATTCACCTTCATTACACTCTTTTGAGCAAGAAAAGTCTTTTTAAAGAATACCTATAGCACATGTCATGCACTAATTCTTTCCTTCCCCAAAACAAGTTAAGCAATTTTCATGGCATTTCAAGCAAGATTTTTAGCATTTTTATTCAATACCATGCTTGATATAAAAATTTTTAATATCTTCCTTATTACAAAAATATTTCGATGCATCATTACACTCAGTACACTCAGTATTTTTTCCTCCATTGCACTTTTTACAATCTCTATGACAATCTTGGCATCTATACTAATCAGAATATTAATTTGAATCACATGTACCACATATACTGTTTTTATTTACTCTGAGATTTTCATCTTGGCACTTTTTACAATCAGTTTTATTAGGACCTAGACATGATTAGCAGTCTGAGTGGCAAGGACTGCATTCATTTTTATCGTTTACATACTGATTTTAATCACAATTGCCACAAAATTTGTCATTTTTAAGATGAGTGTCATTACCACAATCTAAACAAATATCATATTATACACATTTCATGCAGTTAGGAGAACAATCCTTACATCTGGTACCATCATTATACTCATTGGATTTACATGTAGAGCAAATATTTGAATCTGTTGATAAATATTTTTTTGGTGTTAAGCAACGTTCACATTAGTTTTAATCAGGCCCTTTGCATGTATCACAATCTTTATGACACTTTCTACAAATGCTATTCCCATCAAAGAAAGTGTGCTATTCTTTGCACAAAATACACTCATTTTAATTACCTCCTTTACAAGTAAGACAATCTATGTGGCAATTCAAACATTTTCTTAAGCTTAATATACCATTTTCTTAAATATAAAATCCTTACTATGTCTCACATTTTTTGCATGTATTATCATTATGAAGTAATCTTTCACCACTGCATTCTATACAGCTATTTTCTGATGAAGAATTAAGACATTTTTTACATGTTGGGTGGCATTTTTTGCAGTATTCTCCAGAAATAAAAAAGCCGTTTTCTGTATCACATTTAACGCATTTTCCTACATCGATTTCATCTTTGTAATATCCTGGCCTACATGTTAAGCATTTATTTTCCTCTTTTCCATTACAGGTCTAACAATTTATATGGCAAACTTAGCATTTTTCATTTGGATCCAAAAATTAACCATCATTTATTTTACATATCTTACATTTCTCTTAATCATCTTTTATATAACCTGTTTGACATTCATCACATTAATCCTCTCTTTCTCCTCTGCAGGTTTTACAAGTGTTATGGCAATCTCTACATTTTTTTGTAACCTCATCAATAAATTTTCCTTAGTTGTAATCGCATTTGTCACATCTTCCATCAATCATAAAACTATAATCACTTTTACAAGAAATACATTCACTTACACTAGCACCTGAACATTTTTAGCAGTTTCGAGCACATTGAATACAGTAATTATCTTTCTATACATATCCATCTTCTTCTCTGCAAATACCACAATTTCCTTCAGGAAATAGATATTCATTCGAATTATTGCAAGTTAAACAATCTTTTTCTCCACCTCCTTTGCATGTTTTACAGTTTTTATAACATGTATCACAATTTTTAGTGATTAAATTTTAGAAAAAACCATCTTAACACTTTCCACAACTTTTATCAGGTTTTAAAAAATCTCCTGGGAAGCAGGTGTCACATGCATTAAAACTAGAGCAAGTTTAACATTTAAAAGTTTCTTAGCATTTTTTACAAAATTTTCCTTCGACAAAATAACCTTAAATACAAGGAGCACAACTTAAGTTTTCTTGAATTTTGTCATCACCTTTACAAGTTTCACAAGAATTTCCATTTGAACATGTTAAACAATTTAACTTTTGATCACAGTTTTTGCATTATTTTCCTTCTTTATACTATCCATTTTAATCGCATTTGACACATATTTTATTTTAATCCAGATAATATCCATCTAAGCAGCTATCGCAAGAGTCTATTTTAGAGCAAGTAGCACAAAATAAAGACGTTTAATTACATTTTTTACATCTATTTCCTTCAATAAAGTATCCATCACCACATGGTTTACATGAATTATCATCATATAAATAACTACCACTTGAGCAACTAATACAATCATTTACATTTTCGCATGTTTTACAATTTTTTAATTCGTTGCATTTCATGCATTAATTTGTTGTTTTTTCAATAAAAATACCATCTCCTTTACAATCTTAACATTTATTTTAGAAATCTATAAAAAGATTCTCAGGACACGATGAACAACTATTCCCGTTTTCACAAGTTTTGCAATTATAATCTGGTTTGCATGATTTACAAAGACCTAACTCAGAATATTAACCTTACAAGCATTACCCACAAGTTTTGTCTTTTTACAAATTATCAGGAGGATAACAAGTTAAGCATTCAGATTTATTTATACAAGTTTTACATTTAGCTAAAGAGTTACACTTTTTACAGTATTTATCTTAAATAAAGTATCCATCTTCCTTGCATATAGCACAACTGCCATCTTCTTGAATATATTCATTTGTTTATTTGCAACTTAGGCATTTATCTTCTTCACATGACTAGCAATTCAATTCTTATTTACACTCCAAGCACTGCTTTTCTTTTTTATAGAAGCCACTCTCTGTACAAGGAACACAAATATTATTTTTATTTTTAAAGAATGAATCTTAGCATTCGTTGCATGATGAATCATTAGAACATGTCTTACAATTTAATTTTGGATTACATTACAGACACCTGTTATCAGGAGTTGTATAAAAGCCATCTGAACACATTTATTTGCATGTTTTATCAGGCTATAGAAAATATGTATCTTTACATGTTTTACATTCAAATTAATTGTCACAAGTTTTGCAATTGTTTTCACAAGGCTTACAATCTTACTGGTTTATGTAATAAGTATCACTGCAAATATCACTGCATGTTTTATCTGGATATAGATAAAACTTAGTTTGACACACTTTGCATCCATCTTTGGAGCATTATTTGCAATTAGGAAAAGAAGAGCTACATGATTTACAATAATTCCCATCAATATATTAACCATCCTAATCACATTTAACACATTATTCTAAATTATTCAGAAAATAATCTTTTAAACAAGTTAAGCATTTTGTATCACTTGAACATGTTTGACAGTTATAGCTTTAATTACATTATAAACATTTATCATCGTTAACATAAAACCCATCTTGCTTACAATCTACACACTTGCCTTCTTTAGGATATAAATATTTATATTAGCTATTTGTGTCACAAGTTAAGCATGAGTTTTCGTTGTTACAGGAAAAACAATTAAAACCATCCCTGCAATTTTTACATGTATTATTATTAAATATGAATTTATTTGGACCCTAACATTAAACGCAATTTGGTGAAATAGCTATATCTTCAAAATAATAATTTGTTGAGCAATTTTCACATTCACCCTAAGATTTACATTTAGCACAGTTATCTTTGCATTTTTTACAATATTTATTTTCAACAAAAAACCCATCTTCGCATTTATCACATCTTTTATCTTCTTTGATAAATTTACCTGACTCACAAGACTCACAAGAACTTTCATCTAAGCAAGTTAAGCAATTCATTTGAGGAGTACATTACTTACATGCATTTCCTTTTAAGAAATATCCCTAAGAGCATTAAGTACATTAGGATACTGATGAGCACTTTTAACAATTATCTGAACATTTTTTACAAAATTAATCTTCAATAATATACCCTTCTAAGCAAAAATCACATTTACCATCTGGATATATATACTTATCTTTAATGCAAGATGTGCAAGAAAGTTTATCTGAGCAAGTCAAGCAATTTAATGAAGGATTGCAAGATTCACAGTTACCAGATTTAAGAAAATATCCATCAGTACATTAGCTACAAGTATCCTATGAGCTACATTTTAAACAATTTTATTTACAATTTTTACAAAATATACCATCTATGTAATATCCTTCTTTGCAAGTATTACATGTATTATTAGGCTAAATAAATTCACCACTATTACAACTGGAACAAGTTTTTTCATCTGAGCAAGTTTTGCATTTTAGATCTTCAGGACATAAAGTACAAATTCCATTTTTGGAAAAAAATCCATCAGCACACTTTTCACAATTATTCAAATCTTTGCATTTATAACAATTTTCTTTGCAGCGCTTGCAATAATTACCTGATGTGAAAAAACCATCCTTACAAATATCGCATTCATTATTTATATCAGATTAAATAAATAGTCCAGAACTACACTCAGTGCAAGATTTACTGCTATTACATTTTTAGCAATTTAATTCAGGATTGCAAGGTAAACATTTGGATCCCTCAATATAAAATCCATCTTAATCACATTTTATACACTTATTATCGCTTGTTAAAAAAAGCCCTACTACACATGATAAACATTTTGTTTTATTTTCAGAGCATGTTAAACATTTAGAATCACATAATCTACAATATTTCTCATCAATAAAATATTAGCTATTTTAAAGACAACTCATACACCCTGAGTTATCTTCTTTCAAATAATAGCTATTTTAACAAACTTAGCATGTTTTCAAATTTTAACAAGATTAGCAATATTCTGAACAATTAGAACACTATTTCCCATTAATAAATTCCCCTTTACCTATCAAACAATCTCCACATAATTAATTCTGCATAATATAAGAACCTCCTTCACACTCATCACATTTTTTGTCAGATGCGCATTTTGTACATTTACTTGGACATTTAATACAATTTTATTAAGATTTATAATAACCATCAGAGCAAAGTTAATTAGGATTAAATTAGCATGTTCCATCATCATATTTCAATAATCTCTCTCTACAAGTAATGCAATCATTAGGATTTGGTCCTTTACATGATAAACATTGATATGGGCACCTTCTACAATACTAACCACTTATATACCACCCATTATTAGTGTCACATTTTTAACAAGTTGCTAATTCTTCGTTAATAAAAAGTCTAATATCTTTACAACTCCTACACTATCTACCATCACTTGAAATATCATTACATTTATCTGACTTTCCTTTACATTGATTATTTGTTAATGAAGTCTTTAATCCATCATTACAGGTACCACAAGTTTTATCATATAAATAATCATATCTACCTGTTATATCTTTATTAATACAATCATTACACTAGTAATAGTTTGTACAACCTTTACAATATTATCCACACTACATACATTCTTAGTATATAATTTCATAATAGGTATTACCAGTACAAGATTTTTATAACAATCTTTTTTGAATCTAGCTATTTGTATGATTTAAGCATTTAGTTCTGAATTTTTAAAATTTTTATTAATTTAAATTTATTTAAAAAAAGAAAAAACAGATTTACTTGTATTGAAGAATAGGTTACTAATTTTATAAATATTAATTGTTGTATGATAAAATGACTCTAATTTTAATATCTTTATATTTTTGAATTCTAATAAAATCTAACTGTACTTTAGTTTCTTCTAAAATAATTTTTTAAACATCAACATTTTCAGAATAAATACTAGTAAAGCTAAATCTAAAAAAAATATTTATTAAAATAGAAAAATTTAAAAAAAATAAATTACAAATTCTAAAAATCTTAATTTCCAAACTTTATATGAATTGAACAATTAGTTTCTTCATAAGAAAATAATGACTATTAAATAATAATTTCTTCTTCTTTATAAAAAGTCTAATCACTAAATTTGAAAACCCTTGATGCTTTTAATAAAAATGTAAAAATAAATTTAAATATTTTGTAGGTTATTTACCTATTTCAGAAACTTAAAAGATTAGCAAATAGAAAAGTACATTAAATGAAAGTTAAGTCATTTTTGTTTTAGAGTAACAAAGATTTTAATAAGTTGCGTTGAAATTTGAAAAATAATAAATTTTTGACAAAAAATTAATTATATAATAATATAAGTATATGTAGGTCAACATATTAATATAGATGCATTGCTATATTGAATAATTTCTTACTTTTAATTTACTAGAAAACACTTTGAGCAGATATATTTAATATCACTGGTTCATTAAAAAATAATTAAATTAATATCTCTTTCTTTTCTAGAAATGTAGATCAATATTTTTATGATAAATTTTAATTAGATTATTTTCTTAATTTTGCAAATAGATGATTTTATTTAGCTAATAATTTTAAATCGACTAATAGAGTTAAACCGAAAATATTATAATGAAAATCTTAATTTTATAGTTAATAGAAAATAAAAATATCTATAATTTTAATAAAATGAATATATAATTATAAATTATGTTAAATATTATTTCAATTTTTATTGCGAAAAAATATACCAAAAATTAATCAGTATTGATTAAATAATTGATTATAAAAAATAAAATATAAATTAATAACTAATTTACCACAGATTTCTTTAACAGGAATTATATTCATCAATTTCAGAATAAAAGGAAATTGGTGACTAGAACTATTGCTACAAATTTATTAGTACTAAATAGCTAACTAACTAGCAAATGAAATAATAAAATTCACATAAAATAAGTTATTAATTTACAAATAATTATTCTTCTTATAATAATCATACTCCTCAATTTTTTCTTTTAATTGCATTTTTATTACAATCTCATGTTTTTAAATTTATTCAGCTGCTCCCAAATCAAATCAATAACTAACAAACAAATTATATCCTTAGATTTTAAAGTAATTTTTGATAAAACTTTTGACAATATTAGATTTCAATTTTTTAATGCTTGAGTTATATTTCTTACTTATTATAAAATATATATATTTTATATTCTCTTTTAGAATAATTTATATTAATACGAATCAAAATAGAATATTTTAATAATTAGAAATAAAATTTTGAATGACTAACTTTATTAAAAAAGTCAAATCAAGATATCTTTGCTATTAATAATATTAAAAATAGAAACAAAAGTCATATGAAGTAAAATTTATGTAAGTTTATATTAATCTACTTTAAATTCTTTAGATATTATGTATTGAAACAAATATAAAACCTATTTATTTGCTTCTAAGCATTTTTCATATTAAAAATGATATTTATTTTAGAAAAAATTTAAATTATACTATGCAAAAAGTCTTGAGTCTTTTACATTCTTTAATGTTCTATCAAATAAAATAAATAATATATTAAATTATATAAATAAAAGCTAGCCAGAATTAAGGGAAAAAAATAAACATATTAATTATGATAGTAAAATAAATCCTATTTAAAATAGCTCATTTAAAATGCAAAAAATATTTATTGGATAAATTTAAAAAACTTTTTATATCATTAAATTGCATATTCATCTATGAATTTATAATCGTTCTATAAATTTATTCACTTCTTTCTAGTACAAATTCAATTTAATATGTGTAATTAAAATGTTAATAAAGTAGAAAGCGAATTTATTTATGGCAAATTTATTTACTCTTATCTTTTAGATTAGTCGCAGGCAAATCTAAGAGCTTTTTATAATATCTATCTTTCTCATTTAGAAACATGATTTGTTCCTTCAATATATTTATATATGCAACATTTTTATATCTTAAAAATAAAATTATTATTTTAAATTCTTAAAACATAAATTATTTTTTAGTAAATATTCGTAATAGTTGTAAAATTTGCATGAATTTAATAATTGCTAAAATACTCATAAAGTATAATAAGATTTTTAAGTATAGAAGTTAACAAGGACTTTTAATTAAAGAATTCTTATATTGAAGCAATCTAAAAAACTATGTCTTAATCCTAAAAATTGTGTAATATTTTTATGATAAATCCTTTTATGTAATAACAGATAATAAAAAAATTAGTATAACATTCCATATTTTTTTAAATATTTATTTATGAATATTTTCTCAGTAAATTAAGTGTTCTTTTTACTCATTTAAGCTATTTAAGATGCTTTATAGAATATAAAACCAAAAGAAGATAAATTCTTAGTTTGTATGGCTTAAATTATTTTCTAGTTAAAAATCAAAAAGTAATTTTCAATCATAATATATATTTTATTTAAAGAAATTTCCTGATTAAATAAGTGTTCTTTAAACCCATTAAAGCTATATGATGTTTTATATAATAAAAAACCAATAAAATATAAATGATTAGTTATTATGGCTTAAATTATTTTCTAGTTAAAAAATCATATTGTGTACTTTTCTAATATTTTTATAAAATACTTAGAATATTTATTTTAATTTATAGAAAAAAATTATATTATTTAAAGAAGTACTTTTAAGGCTAATTTTAAATTGCCTTTTTATAAAATTAAATCAAAAAATTTTAAGCCAATGTTAAAAACATTTCACTATTATATCAATGGTAAAAAGATAATACATAAATATAAAAAATATAATTTTGATTTGAACATTATCTTTTTTTAGAGAAATGGTTCAGTATAGATTATATTTTTTAACATTTATTTCATTTTAAATTATTTACAAAAAATATTAAAATAAGATAATAGACTATTGCATGATGAGATATTTAAAATATAAGATTAGTATGTATTATACTTTCGATATTAAAGGAATCTCTAAATCTTATTTTTATATTTTGATTAAATATAATTTTAGCAAAGTTATTTTTAATTTTCATACTTTAGAATAAATAATGGCAAAGAAATAATTATGTTTTATTTTAAATTATTTTAATAATTTTTTACTTAAAAGAAAAATTTAAATCTAAATGATTATCATTATCATCTTATTTTATGAAATTATTTTATCTTAGCTTATGTAATAAATATGTAAATTTGGTTAGTATTATTTTCATAAATGAATTTTAAGGATTTTGATTATTGTATAACATAAAAAATAATTTTGAATTTTTAATAGATATAATATCTTTCTTATTTATTTCATAATATTCATGAAATATAAATCATCTAAAATATTTAAAATCTAATTCATTTTGTAATAATATTTTTTAAGACATTATTTATTAGTAGTATTCAATCATTTTTAAGGTGAAAAAAAAAAACTTAATTAAATAATTAGTTTTTTAATTGAATAGTTTTTATTACTTCTACTTGATAAAAACATGGACTAACTAATGTCAAAATTTACATTTTTCATGCTAATATATCATAAATTTCATTTTAATTTGTTATTTTATTTTTTAAATATAACTTATTATGCTTTTTGTTAGCATGAAATATAAATATTTTAAAACATTATATTTCTTTTGGCTTTCTTTTTGTTTTTAGAACCATATGATTCTTTATCTTAACTATTTTGATAGCTCTAAAGTATATTTAAACAAACTTCATTCAAAATTGTTATATATGCAAACAGAACGTATTTAATTCATCAAATATGTTTTAAACAAACATGCTATAAGATTAGGATTAATGAACAGATACTATTAAGTCTTTTTAACTTTTAGATATAACATAAACATAAAAAGATAAATATGAATTAATGTAGATATTATAAAAAAGGTTTCAATCATAGTCTAATAAATAATTAGTAATATTATATTCTGAAAGATAAACCTTTACTCCTTCGAGCCAGAATATTTTAATTCAAAGTTATGAAAATAAATTTCAAACCAAAATTTAATTTTACTTTAAACTCATTTTTATAAATAGTGTAGATAAAAACTAAAAGAATATTAAAATATCCAAAATATATGATAGCCAAGCTCATTAATATATGTATATTTTAATTCGTTTAG